CTTTCCAATAGAATTCCTAATAATTAATATTAAATATCACGAATAATTTCACAATTCTATGATTAATCACGACGAGTCGTTATACCCGGAATAAAAGTAACAATAAAATAAAAAAGAGAGAGAAAAAAAATAAATAAAAACGAGAGAGATGAAGAAAAGAAAAATGGAAAATAAAAGAATGAAGAAAAAAGGAAGATTATATAGGCGTATGTCTATACTCGTATGAAATTCATGTGAGACAGCATCGACCTTACCACTCCACCCTTAAGAGGGAAGGGGGCAGGAGAGGTTTGAGAAATTTAAATGTCTTTCGTGAAAGCCGAGAGGATTTAGTCACTTTATCCTTCAAGAAATGGATTTCACCATTTACTATTCTTTTGTTTCATCTCCTATGTAAAAATCCAATCGTATGGTCTTCCTTTTTTCTTTTTCTTTTTTTTCTTTTTTTTTCTTTTTAATGACTTTTCTTTCATAAAGAAATGAAAAGAAGAAGAGGAAGAAAAAAAAAAACAATATTCTTATACCATGATAAAAAAAAAAAGATATTAAATCTTTATATAAACTTTACCTGGACTAATCGATTTTTTTAGGCTTGAAAATCAAGAAATATATGGTAACAAAGAGTCGACCAAAATATTGGATCGATATCTTCCTGAAAACGTTGAACTTTCCGTCGTTAATATAATCGTGAAAATTTTGTTAAAGTATAAAAGGAAATCTCTAATGAAAGACGGATCAACGAGGTACAGGTGAGATGGAGACTGAAGACGAAATGGAAGAGGAATTGTCGGAAGCAACGGGAATGGAGGTAAAATGCATACCTATGCACACATATATATATATATATGTGCGTTGACAAGATAATCAGTTCTGATCGTTGTTCCCACCATTATACGTTATTACGTTTTGACGTTACAGGTAAATCATAACAACAATCTTGGGAACTTTGAAACTATGAGGATCTCTTCGAGAACATCGGAAAGGAGTGATGAAAGTAACAATCATTTGGAAATAAATCTTCAAGTGAATACGAAGAACGATAAAGAGGAATCAAAATTATCTTTAAGTACAAGTATGAAGACTGATATAAAGGAGTGTGAGAGGAGGCCCTGTAGGACCAAAAGGATCTCTTGTCAGCAGGACACAATACACGAATACGACGAGGACGATGGCCTGACGATGGACAGGGTTGGAAGGTAAAAAAAAAAAAAAAAAAAAAAAAAAAATAGAAAAAAAAAGAAAAAAAAAAGAAAAGATTTATCAACGTTTCGACGTATGAAGGGAATAAATAAATAAATATAACATGACTGAAAACAAAACAGATACATGGAGGCTCATCCAAACGTAGTTGAGACTTGGCTATACGAAAAGGCAAGTTTGGAATTACGACAACGATTGCAAACGCCAAGATTGGAACGTACAAAGTCAATAACTTCAACTTCTTGTCAAGACCAGGAAGGTATTTTGAATCGACCGAAACGTAACAGCGTCACTTCCGATCTCTTTCAAACGTGGCTATCGACGAGTTCACCGGCTAAACGTAGCAGAAGTCCAAGCAGGTAAGTTACATTAAAATTACAATAAACAAATTAGAGAAATGTTATATTAAATGATCGAAAGATAAATCTTCTTTAAATTGATAACATATAAAGCATTTTTCATACGATCTATATTCTATAAAATCTTAAATGTATAAAATCAATCTCTCATATAAATGTTTTAAATAAAATCGATTAATCAAATATTCAATTCGGTATCGTTCTTTATATAAGTGTTTAAATCGAATGTTCATGGGAACTATAAGGAACAAGTAATATAATTCCTATGTCTATTTTATAGCCGGACGATAACTCATCCGTAGATTCATATTTTTGTTACCACGTAATAACTATCTCAAACATGTTGGGGATTTTAGGGCTTCTATATCGTTAATGGGTCGCCGAGAGGAACTCAATAGACTGGACGAAAGCGACCTATTTATGGAACTCATAAGGGACGTAGCGAACGAGCTGGATATCAACGTACTTTGTCACAAAATTTTGGTCAACGTTGGAATACTTACTTATGCTGATCGAGGAAGTCTCTTTCTTGCAAAAGGTCCACTCGAGGATAGATACTTGGTTGCTAAACTTTTTGACGTTACTCAGGATACAGAACTTGAGGAAGCTGTTCAACGTGCGAAAAATGAAGAGATAAAGATACCTTTCGGCGTGGGTATCGCCGGTTACGTAGCTGAAACGAAGGAGATAATCAACATAAAGGATGCTTATAAGGTTAGATGTGAGAGTTCGAAGAGAAATTTGTTTCTTTTTATTTATTTATTTATTTATTTATTTATTCATTTTTTTTTTTTTTTTTTTTTTAATATATCTCAGGTTTAAATATGCCAGCAAATGTGAATATTGATTTATCTAAAAGTCGAAGATATAGCAACTAATACGATACTTTTTTGAAATATTTCTTTTTCTTTATCGAATTATTTAGAAAAAAAAAAAAAAAAAAAAAAAAAATAAAGAAATTTGTTCCTTCAATATCAAAAATATTTGTATATCGATTTATCAAGAAATTTAAAGGAAAGAATGTTAATGTATTGTTATTCCAATAATCTGATTATTTTTTTCACATATTGAAACTCACGTTTTTCTTTCTAATAACATAGAAAGAAATTTATGAATTTTTAGGATCCACGATTCAATAGTGCCATCGACATGCGTACAGGTTACAAGACAACGCTTATCCTATCGATGCCTATTTGTAATTACGAGGGTGACGTTATTGGAGTCGCACAGATCATCAACAAGACCAATGGAAGCAACGAGTTTACTGAAAAAGACGTGGAAGTATTTCAAAGGTAGATAAAAAAAAAAAAAAAAAAAATTAAAAAATAAAAAAGAAAAGAAAAGAAAGAAAGGCCGAGTTATTTTTGAAATATATTTTTGAAAAATATTATCTATTTTTTTCACGCAGATATTTAACCTTCTGTGGAATTGGAATTCAAAATGCACAACTATTTGAGTTATCCGTGCAGGAATATAGGAGGAACCAAATTTTACTTAATCTCGCGAGGAATATATTCGAAGAGCAAAACAATCTCGAATGTTTGGTAACGAAGATTATGACGGAAGCAAAAGAGTTGCTGAAGTGCGAAAGATGTGCGGTTTATTTGCTCGATCTGGATTGCGGCGAGGCGGTAAATATATCTAAATATAAAATGAAACTAAACGTAAGATATAGAATCATTTCGTAGGAAGGACACCGGATAGATAACTAAGATTTTTTTTTTTAATTTCAGGGTCATCTCGAAAAGATCGTCGAGCGACCCAGTAAATCGATTCAAGAAAACAGAAAACCATTGTCCAGGAGAGAGGTAAGCAAGTACAATGGTACACGTATTCATGATTCTCGAGTCTGATCATTATCTTCCCTTTAACGACGGCACAGAGCAATAACATCGATATGGAGGATATCTTTCAGCAGCACGTAAGCCTTCGAAACTATTATGAAATAATCGATATATCTGTGAGATAGATAAAGCTAATAACGGTAAAATACGAATGGTACATATATACATATATTTGTATGTATATACGTGTGTGATATTAAAAATATATTTTTACATAATATATATATATATTATGCGAGAGAATTATCGGTATATTAATCGGTACAAATGATTTAATTTACAACGTTATTATTCGTCTCGTAGAGTTCGATCGAAAGCAGTAAGTTCACTATGATCTTCGAAATGGATAACGAAACCCAAGAGGCACGGGTGTATCGACCAAGTACCAATGATCTTTCCAGTCCATTGGGTCAAATCGCAAGATACGTCGCAGCTACTGGACAAATTCTCAACATAGGGGATGTTACAAGTTGGTTGAAGAAAGATGTTGTGGAAACTGAGAAGGAATCAACAAGAAGTATCCTCTGTATGCCGATCGCTAATGGTCAAAGAACTGTGATAGGTGTTGCCCAATTGATTAATAAGGTATTCGTTCGAATAATTATTTTTCATTATCAATATATTCATTTAATCAATTAAATATTTTTTCATAAATAGGACAATGGTACATCCTTCACCGATTCTGACGTCTCCATTTTCGAAGCATTTGCCATATTTTGTGGTCTTGGTATACACAACACACAAATGTACGAATCAGCTTGCAAACTGATGGCAAAGCAAAAGGTCGCTTTGGAATGTCTTAGTTATCACGCGACGGCCAATAATGACGACGCTTTGAAGTTAACCTCTGACTCTATTCCATCTGCTGAAAAGTTCAATCTTTACAGCTTCACCTTTACGGATTTTGATTTAACAGACGACGACACGTGCAGAGCAACCATAAGAATGTTCAAACAGTGCAATCTTATTCATAAATTTCACATCCCTTATGATATCCTTTGCAGGTGGATTTTAAGCGTGAAGAAAAATTACAGGTATACGTAAACTTTTATTTTTCTCTTTCTCTTGTCATTGATCGAATGAATTTTTAAATAAATATTACCATATTTCAGGCCAGTGAAATATCATAACTGGCGACACGCATTAAACGTAGCACAAACTATGTTTGCAATGCTGAAAACAGGTAAAATGGAACAATTCATGACCGACCTTGAGATTCTCGGACTACTAGTAGCCTGTCTCTGTCATGATCTTGATCATCGTGGTACGAACAATGCATTCCAAACGAAAACGGAATCACCACTTGCCATTTTGTACTCTACAAGTACTATGGAACATCATCATTTCGATCAATGTGTCATGATATTGAACTCGGATAGCAATAACATCTTTCAAAATCTTTCTATGGAAGATTATAGGAGAGTTATGAAGGTGGTCGAGAGTGCTATACTTTCGACGGATCTAGCGATGTATTTTAAGAAAAAGAATAGTTTCATGGAGCTGATCGACGATGGTGAATTTGATTGGCAGAGCGAGGAAAAGAAGGAATGTTAGTATCAATCAAAAACTAATCTTCTTTTCCTCTTCTCTTTCCTTTCGTCTTCTTTTCCTTTTCCTTGTTTTTTTCTCTTCTCTATTATTTTAATCGAATTAATTCGTTGATTAGACATAAATATAAATTTAACTTTTTAACGTTACCATCTATTAAACGTAAATCCTAACGTAATAACCTTTAAGTAATAATTTATGTTTAACTTTGTTCACCAGTGTTATGCGGAATGATGATGACAGCATGTGATGTTAGCGCGATAGCGAAACCTTGGGAAGTTCAACATAGAGTAGCAAAATTGGTCGCCGATGAATTTTTCGATCAGGGTGATTTGGAACGATTGCAATTGAATCAACAGCCGGTAGCGATGATGGATAGAGAGAGAAGAGACGAATTGCCGCAGATGCAAGTTGGTTTTATCGACGAGATATGTATGCCGTTGTACAAAGTTATGGCGGAGACGTTTCCATGGATTATGCCACTTTACGAAGGTACCAAGGAGAATAGAAGACATTGGCAGGATTTAGCGGAAAAAGTTGAAATGGGATTAACTTGGATAGATCGCGATACCATCGAAGAACCAGTCGAAGAGTTTGTTTCTTACGAGCCAAGGGACATCGAGTTCACTGTAACGACCTTGAACTGTACCCATCCCGATAGAAAGGATCAAGTTCAAGAAAAATCAGCATTAGCTAGACTCACCTCGCTTAGGAAAGGAGGTCGTACATTGAGCAAAGGTGTCAGACAACGTCTAAGTAAATCACTTTACGTAAAGACTAATTCTGAGGACACTAGTAAAACAAAAGTATTGATTTCTGAAAGGAAAAGTCGTAATAAACTTTGTCTTCTCATTTGACGGCTCACGACTACTACTCTAGAGAGTATACCAGAATGATGTTTGTTCTTCCTAAAAAAAAAAAAAAAAAAAAAAAAAGAAAAAAAAAGAAAAAAGAAAAAGAAAAAAAAGGGAAAAAAAAGAAAAACAAACAAAACAGAAGAAGAAAAAATATCCAACGTCGTTCGTTCTTACGTCGAACGATCGATGGATCATCGAACGACAAAGCAACCGGTACGATGTGATTTCGTTCTAACAATTCCAACGAGACGGACTACTTTTACTCCGTGAGTTTAAAATATCAGAATCAAAATAGAATAGAATCGGGAACGATCGGAAATTCGATTTGGACGGTCGAACGATATCTATTAAACACCGTCGTCGTATCCTATCCATACCTACCCCATCCCTCTTCTTAGCCCGCCCAATATCATTGATTTTTTGTGCTGAAATGTGTGAAACTTTCTATAAAATGATTAATATAAGAAAAACTGCTGGACTTGTATTTCTCTTTTTCAAAATGGATACGTCGTACAGAAAGAGAAAGAGAGAGAGAGAGAGAGAGAGAGAGAGAGAGAGAGAGAGAGAGAGAGAGAGAGAGAAAGAAAAAAAAGAAATAAAAAAAAGAAAGACAGTACATTTGTAGAAATTAGAAATTATACTTGGTCGAGATATGACTAGGTATATACATATATCTATATATTACATTCATACATAGATACATACATACATACATATACACACACACATACAGACACATACACACACACATACGTGCGTATATAATTATGAAAATGTATGGTCGATGAGATACGTCTACATATCGGTTTGTATCTCGATATGTAACATGAATGAAAAGACGTAAGAGCATATTTCCATTCGATTTTGACAATCTTTTTGTATTATATCTCGATATTCTTACTAAGCTCTATCTAGTCGAACGAGGGAAATTAAAGTAATCGATAACGACTTGCAAATGGGACAAGGGAAGAAATTAACTAATGTGTATGTATTTGTGTGCGTTCTCTGTGTGTTTTTTGATCTTGGATAAATTGAAAAATACTACTTTTAGTAATGACGACATAGAGTACGAAGTCTATCGATTATTCCGAATATTTCAATTTTGCTATATAATATTGTCGATCGTGATCGAGAAATCGTGAGACAGATGTAAACTTCATTTCTCTTTCTCCCACGCTCCCCTTCACCCTCCGCCCCCATTATTCCCTGTTATTTCCCTATTTCTATTTACGTACTTCCCATTGTTATGCGTTTCCTTGTTTGTCGATACAAAAAGAAAAAAGAAAAAAATGGAAAGGGAAATGGAAATAAAAATTAAATAAATAAAAATAAATATAAATTCGTAATGTCGGAAAAGAAATCGGAATCTTTTAACACAATTAACGATACTTTCGTTTACGCGATTTCCACAAAAAAAAAAAATATGAAAAAAAAGGAAATTAAAAGAGAGATAAAAAGAAGGAGAGAGAAAGATATATATATATGTATAAGAGAGAGATATGTATATATATATATATATATATAAAGAGAAATCAGTGTCAATCAATCGTCCACATTTGACTATTAATTCTTATCGAAAAAAAAAATGAGAAAAGAAAAAATGCATACACACTTGCATCGTTCATATCCGATGCAACGAAAAAAATTTCACAGGGATGACCTTCACACAAGATTGATTTTTAGTCTTTTTGATAAACATAACTGCGACATTATAACTATTCAGAGACGTTGTTACACGCGAATAATTAATTAAAAAAAAGATATATACATAAGATGTATATTTTAGCGAGTATACATATATGTATGTACCTATACATAAATACATATACAGAGGGTCGAGAATTAAATCAACCAACGTAAAAATATATATTGAAATTTTGATCGAAACGCTTCCATTTTCATTTTAAAAAGGCACGGCGGTACCTGTTGTTTCCTCACATTCGTATCCAATCGATTAATATGAGACACCCTGTATAGAGAGGTAGAGGAAAAAAGAGAGAGAGAGAGAGAGAGAGAGAGAGAAAAAGAGAGAGAGAGGGGGGGGTAGAAACGAAAGGATAAAAAAGAATAGCACTCGAAACAATATCGATCGTTTTATCGTACACACACAAGGTCCGATATTAGAAATTTTTACAAAAAACAAAAAAAAAAGAAGTTTTTCACGATATTTTTTTTTTTTGTTTTTTTTATTAAAACATTTAGAAATTACAATATCCGCGGACTATACGAAGTTAGTCCCGTACAGTAATTGAATCATTGCGTTTGAAAAAATCATTTTGGTCCTACTATATTAAATTAAGTATAACAAACGGCTGCTTTTCTTGATGCTTCTCGCATGGTCGATGATCGATCGATCGATTCGCTATATATATTTACAATTTCTTTATTATTATTATTATTATTATTATTATTATTATTATTATTATTATTATTATTATTATTATTATTATTATTATTATTATTATTTTCTTTTTCTTCTTCTTCTCCTTTTACTTTTTCATTTTTAGAGGCGCAAAGAACGTACTAACTTACATACATATGTTTTTGTGGTATTGCGACGTTGAAAAAAGAGAAAAATGCGCGCACTAGAGCCTTTTTCAAAAAAAGTTTTATAGATAAACAACGTCGTCCACCAGTATAGTCTCCTTTATTTAAATCGACTTTGAAATGTGCACCAGGAAGCCGTACGTGCGTCATGGCAGTGACACCATTTTGTCCTCTCTCTCGACAATAACAACAACAACAACAACAGAAAAAAGAAAAAGGAAAGAAAAAGAAAAGGAAAAGAAAAGAAAAAGAAAATAAAAAAATACAAAATTCCTTTCGCAGCGTCGCATTATCACGCAGAAGTAATCTCTCGCCTTCCATTGTGACCAAGGATCAAGACGAGATCGTTCACGGCGGAAATACTACGAGAGAGAGAGAGAGAGAAAGAGAGAGAGAAGGAGGGAGGGAGAAAAAGAGATAGAGATAGAGAGATAGAGAGAGGATGGAAGAGAGGGAGAAAAAGAGATAGAGATAGAGAGATAGAGAGAAAGAGAGAGAAAAAGCATGATTTACGATCATGATCAATGAGGAGGAACTTTGGTATCGTTCACGTCAAATCAAGAAAAGAAAAGAAATGTTAAAACGATAAACAAAAGAATCCTTCAAATTTATTTTAAATCATGCAAGACTCCTTCTACATATATATGTATATATATATATAGGTATATACATATATATATATATATATACATGTATATACATGTTTAAAATATATAAAATGATCAGTTCGTGAAATATTTTATTGATCAAATTAATTGTAAATCATGTAAACCTCTTCTTCTTTTTTCTGTACGTTTAGTACAAAGGTGCGTGCGTGTGTATGTATATATATATATGAACAGTTCACTAAATTATTTTATTGACACTTCCTTCGAACTTTATTTAGGACACATTATCCGAGTACGATCATGAACGATCGATCGATCGATCGATATATATATATATATATAGGTAATCCTTTAGAAAGATTTCGTTTGAAATTAATCACGAATCTCTTTCTTCGCTTAAACAGATTTTTAATTTGCCGGAACGGCAAAGGTTTATCAGGTTTGTGCATGGTAAGAACGAAGTAAAGACTTCTCATCGATTTCTTGATTTTAAAAAAATTTTTTTAAAATACAATATAGATAATAAAGAAAAAAAAAAAAAAAAAAAAAAGAAAAAAAAAAGAAAACATCTATTCTCTCTCTCTCTTTCTTTCTCTCCCCCTCTTTTTCTCTCGCTCTCTCTCTCTCTCTCTCTCTTTCTCTCCCCCTCTTTTTCTCTCGCTCTCTCTCATTCTCTCTCCCTCTCTCTATCTGTCTCTCTCTCTCTCCAAAGAAAGAAAAAAAATTTTCGACACTCGTTTCGCTTTATTCTTATCATTAAGTGCACAGGAATGATAAGAAGAATCGATAAATCGTTAGAGAAGAAAACTGGGTCCCGTTCTTTTATTTCTTTTGTATCGTTTCGTTTCATTTCTTTTCTTTTTCATATGTTTTTGTTTTTGTCTATAGTTCTTTCTTTCTTCTTCTTTTTTTTTTTTTTTTTTTTTTTTTTTTTTTTTTTTTTGTTTTTTTTCTTCGTTGCCACAATATGATTTACACGGTATTTATATACTTTCCAATGTGAACGAACTAATCCTGAACGAGAAAATTGTATTTCAGGACCGTTAGCTTTTTTATCGGAAGAGAGGTAAGTGTATAACATCTCGTACATCTCGATTATATATTATATAATGCCTGCGATTATTTTATTTATCCTTATGACCGTTCTTTTTTTTTTTCTTTTTTTTCTTAAACACGCGATCAACTTATAACCGCGGCATATCGTTATAGATACGACATATAAAAGATTCCACGCGTGATGTATCGTTGTTTCGTTTGAGATCACTGTAACTTATATACGTAATCTACCAGTAAAAAAAAAAAAAATATATATATATTTAACAAAAAAAAAAAAAAAAAAAAAAAAGTAATAAACCCCCTCCCACACTCCGGAAAAAAAGAGAAAAAAAAATATATTATTCACAGACGATTATTAGAGCCTTAACCTAACGATCTTGCTAAACTTAAAAAAAAAAAAAAAAAAAAAGAAAAAAAAAGAAAAAAAAAGAAAATCCAAGTCTCCCTTTGTAATCGTTCGAAATGCAAGATTCTTTTATTTTGACAACGTCGAGACGCCTGTCCACATCGCCCACACTATATGCTTATCCTTGATCACAATGTCATATACGTCAAAAAATTAACTTAATATATATATATATATATATATATATATATATATATATATATATATCCTACTTATCACCTCAAAATACAATCATTTCCCTTTTAGCCAATCCTTGGAGTTCTTAGCGCAATTAATTACCTGTGTGCCAGTAATTTCGACCAAATATATTACATTTCTTATCTTTTTCTCTCAATTTTTCTCTACAAGTAGGAATTATTTTTACGGCGAGTGAATTTCAAATTCAAGTACATACGTATTTTAATAAAAAAGAAAAAAGAATAGGGGGGAAAAAAAAAAACAATGAAGAATACGTCGACTTATGCCTCGTCAGAAAAAAAGACAAAATAAATAAATAAATAAAAAGATTTACAGTTTACGGAAGATATTTTCTCCTGGAAGGGGAAGAACTTAGAATCTCTCTTATAATGCATATAAAAGATTGGAACGTATAAAGTCAAAGTTCTTTAACAGTCGATAGAAAATTCAAATAATATCTAAATTTAAACTCTGTTTGTTGATTTGATTTACAATAAACATAGATTAGACTGTAGATTACGTCCATGAATATCATCGAATAAATGCAGTCAGCAACCAGCTCTATATCCTGAATGATAAAACAGGGATATGTTAATCTCTTATGATCTGTCTTATATGAAATCTGTTTTTCTGATGTATGATCATGAAAAATTAAATAATTCTTTATAGTCTTACACATCGCTTTGTGATTTATATCCATGTGCTTGTATTAGGTCATTTATTCTAATATGTAGAATAAATTTTTCACGAGTCTCTTGATAAAACAATTACATATTTGTAAAATAAAAAAAAAAAAAGAAAAAAAAAAAGAAACAAAAACAATTAACGAATATGAAAACTCGTGCGTTGACATTGAATCGTAAGCTCTGAGAAAATGTTTCTTCAAGTTTCACTTTTTTTTTGTTCTTTTCCTTTTTTTTTTTTTTTTTTTGCTCTTTTTGGTTTAGAGATTCTCTTGGCAAATACTTTGATTCTTGCTTTGAGTAAATGTATATGACTTTACGTGCTTCATAACTTTGAAGCAATAATTTGTCCTTTTGATATATACTTATGTTCAATAAACCTAAGTACAAAGTTAGACTCGAAGAGAGCTAAACCTTATTGCACATGAATTTCATTACAATAATTGTGCAAGTTATAGTTTAAAATTCTGCTAGTTTTTTTATGAAAAATTAATTATGCACGACCAACTTGAATGAGTCAGAGTGCTGCATAATTGTGTCCAAAGACACTCATCAGCGCATGTAGGTCGGTAATTCTGGCAATACGGCAGAAATGCGCGGGTCACATGAAGAATTCCGTAGATCGGCTAACATGCAGTCACGATGCAGGTCTGTCTAATACAGAGATTTCTATTAGCCTAAGACCACGTGTTGTTGGATCTGTTAACAATAATCCACGTGGCTTATAAACTCTATCATTCTGTTCGCAAACAAATTTTGCGACCTTCCGCAAGCACTTCTCATAATGTGTTTCAGTGCATATAAAGATTAAATAACCGGTAAGGCAAGCAAGGCAGCCCTCACAGAAAGTTGAACAACTGGCACGTTCTGCTTCGGCAAAGTAATTGTTCAATTGATTGATTGTATACTCGAACGACTGTCTGTCCAGCTATATTTAAAAAAAAAAAATATAGCACAAATATTAAGAAAAAAAAAAAGAATTTAAATACCTTTGAGAATAATTTTAGTACAAATATATTCAAAATCAACAATATTTAGAGATATATATATAATATTAATAAAAATATATATGCATTTAAATATATTAAATATATCTGTTAAAAGTTGAAAAATTAAAATATAATGATAGTAGTAATAGTACTAGTAGTAGTAATAGTAGTAGTAATAATAATCATAATCATAATAATAATAATAATAATAACATACTGTTATGGTTTATGATATTACGTACTCTGCTTTCCAATTCTGTAGGGAATTGTGTTTGAAATTTAACCATTGTACCTTCGCTATAATCTCGTTGTATAAAAACTTTTTGACAATTTTGAAGAGACCCTCCACCTGCTTGACCTCTTCCAGCTGACATATCTTCTAAAGGAGTGAGGGCAGCGTGGTTGCCCTATAAATTAATATTTATATTTATACATTTATAATATAATATAATTTTTTATAAAAAACATTATATAGATCTACTTTTTATATTATTAAACATAATTCGTCTATATTTAGTATTTATTAAATTATTGTCATTACACATGCTTATATTTATATAGCAGAATAGTTATCTTTATAAAATGATGATTTGATTAAAACATATACGCATATAGTATATAGTAAAATATAGTATATATGCAAAGTTATATATATATATATATATATATATATATATATATAGATTTTAGTTATAATGCAAAAAAAAAAAATATAAATTTAATTGTTTGAAAAATCAACTTAGCTATTTTATAGTTGATATCCTATCTAACCACTAAAACCGCACCCAATAATTAAGTCAGGAAATTACAATTATTACAGCTAATGTAATTATTTTTATTAAATTTAAAGAATAATTTATATATCTTTGAAATGCATCATTTCCAATAGAAAATAAATTAATAAGTAAAATATTTTCACATGTAAATTCATAGGAATAAAAGGAGTGCAAAAAAAAAATGTAAATGGTAAGAATGATAGACTTACCAATGGCATTTTGAGCTTCGTCTTGCTGGTTGTATAAAACTCTGGTAATGGAATCAAATTCAATTGCTTGATTGCACTTATGGTGAAAGAAACAAATTGACTTGTCACTGAAACTTAACGTAAACGTTTGAAAATTAGAGCAATTTTTACACTTCAACGAGTGGACGCACGATTCAGTCGCCATGAAACATGCGCGCGCAATTCATATTATTAAAATCTGTTCACACTGAGCGATATTTATTTCGTTGGTTAATACGATCAATTGTGATACGATATAAAGATAATAGATCATTATTAATAACTTTATACATATATATATACATATATTGCATTAACTATTAATTATTTATAGCTTATAATAAAATATATTTTCTTTTTTTACAATTAGTCAATAAAATATTTACATCATTATTGGTTAGCAAGTGACTTGTCAGGCAGTTTACATATATTCGCGCGATAAAAGTAGTTATAATCGATATGGACATATCGATTGTCATAAGTATCGTATTATCAAGTAATATTTCGATTATCGAAAGTACCCTAGACTTACCCATTTTATTTGAAGTTACCGGCCAGCATTGTTCTTCGCGCTCAGTACACATTATTTCTATGAATTCTTTTGTCTAGTTTTTACTAGTGTGAAACTTATAAGAATTTGTAATATTTAAGCACGTGCTTCGCCTGAAATATATTTTATAATTTTACTTAATAAAGAATTAAATTTTCTTTTTTAAAGAAACTATAATCTGTATAATCTGTGATTGCATTACAGAGTGAAAAGTATGGCTTATTTTCAATCAAATGAAAAAACAGAAACTTCCACGTAAGAAATATTATAACATAATATTATTATATATTAAGAATTATTTTATTTAACATTGTGAATTTTACAGCAAAGCAAAAGAGTATAGGCTCTATGTGGCTAATATACCTGTGGAACTAAACAAGGTTTTTTATTTTACTATATCTTTTTAATATTAATATTTTTTTATACTAAGAATGTTTTACTTTATATATAAATATATATATGTATATATATATGTATATATTTATATTTATACTTATAAATATTATTTTTAAGGGTGGCGTTTTGCAAATTTTTAAGCATTATGGAACAGTAAATGGACTTTTCTATCTTCCAAATACAACATGGGCTTTTGTTACGTATGGAACATATCGTGAAGCTGAATGTGCTATTAGAAATCTTCATGATAAACCGCCATTACGTCTACAAATATCATTTGGTAAAAAAATGGCAATGGAAGAAATAAACCAGGAGAAAATATATATTAAAGAATCTCCAGAAATTTATGAAGATATAACGCAAGATTATCAATATAATGAGAAAGCATAGTAAGTTTCTATAATAGTGATATTTTTTATATATTATAGGTATCATAAATATAATATATGAATATATATATATATATATATATATATATATATATATATATATATATAATTGTATTTATATATAGCATAGATATTGTAGAAAAAGGAAACCACAATAATGCACTTTATAAACGTAACTTTCTACCTAAAATATCTACTGATATGTATCATGCAAATGATGGTTTGTTATATCCAATACCTACTGATCATTATATATATGATCCATATGAGAATGCAGAGACTGATTATAAAAATACATTATGGGCAAGGTTGGTTTATGTTTCCTCTGATTAATGCTAAATGATTAAATTTGTCTAATATTATATATTTAGATATCTATTGAATATAAGATTATTTAAAATATTTTATTATAGAGGCAAAATAACAGTAACAAACGATGGAAAAAGACATGTTTCCTATGGACGTGGTTATACCGCATATGAAATACCTGACACTGAAATATTGATTAAAAAAAATTATGATAAACGTGTTAATGTAATAATAATTATTTTCTATTATCATTTAATATAATATCACAATTTTATTTAATGATAATATGTTTTTTCATTTATTATAGGGTTTGTATGAACATGGACAAGATGCTTTGAAACAAAAGTTAGGAACATGTGTATGTTGTAACAGAATAACGCCCGTGAGATGTGGTAAATGTTATGCCTTCTATTGTAGCAAAGAATGTCAAATAACAGATTGGCCACGTCATAAAATTGAATGTCAACAAATACCGTTAGTATAAAATATAAATAAATATAAAAATATTTTGTTTTATTTCAGTTATCTAAGTTATTAAGAAAATATATATATATTTTTTTTTTTTCACTTCAATCATATCAATCTTATCAATCTTATCAAAGTTCCTTTTTTTTTTACAGTACACTGATAGAGGATGTAAAATCTTTATCAACGTCAAGCAGCGAGGAACAAATTAGCGTGACGAACTTGGCACAAGCTCATAAAACATTACGTCGTCCAAAACAATCAATAGAAGTTTTGTTGAATAAAAATGTAGAAATCGGAAATAACAAATGTATAGAACTTAATAATACTGAATCTTCCGAGAAACAAAATGTTGAGAATAATTTTCAAGTTAAGAATATAAATAAAAATGATCAGATAGAACATAAAGAATATAAATTGGATACAACTGAAAAAGAAGTTGCAAATAAATGTACAAACAAAAATAATTTTGATGTTATGAAAATTGAGAAAGATATAGTATTTCAAAAAGACACATTTTTATCAAAAGCAAGATTCACACAAGTTAAAATCATAGGATTTTCAGGAAGAAGAGAATTTTGGGTACACAAAGTGGACCAAGATATGATCTTTCAAGGAATGATGCTTGATTTACAAAATATAGTTAAGGAGATGCCTAAAATAGATCCGATTATTGGTAATATATACGGTTACAAATTTGAAAATGTGTGGTATAGAATAAAGATAATATCTCTCAATCCCACTAAGATTTTTTACATTGATCATGGCATTACTGAAACCGTTGAAATAAATGATTTTCGTGAAATCAACGATTTAAAGACCATGATACCATTTACAAGAAAAATTCGTTTAAATAAAAATACAAAAAAAAAATATGAAAATTTAAAAATAAATCACGTAATATATGTAAAGGTTATTGCTTATGAAGAAAGTGTGATTATTGTAGATGTAAAAAATGAAAATGAAAATAGTAACAATCCAAATGGATCTTTCAAGTTCGAGTCACAATCAAATATTAAAAGTTATACAAAAGTAACTAAGGATAGTACTTCTAAGATTACTTCCAATCTTTCTTCAGACGAAGAAGGAAATAAAAACGAGGATAAAAGAAATAAATGTCTTTCTCCAAATACCAACAAAAACAAGAATAAAAACGAGGATAAAAAAAATAAAAATAAAACAGTACCACATACCTTACCAAACGTGATTGACCTTTTATCAGTAAATTTATCTGGATTTTTGAAAGTTAATGTAGTACTCCAAAACAAAACATATGGGATTACCCTTCGACCAAGCGATTTGAATTGTGATTTCAAACGAATTGTAACAGAATTACCTGAAAAATGTGCTTCTGTAAAATTAAATCATGAATACAAGTTAGTTTTCTAACTGAAAATATTGCTGATAAAAACTGTTTATACTTTATACATATACTTATCAGCATGCTTCTTTATTTTATAACTTTACAGACCAAATATTGGAGAGTTAATATGTGGTCAAGAAGAGAATGGTGAATGGTATAGAGGTTATGCAGTAACTCTCCATCCAATAAAACAATTTGCAATATTGGATAAGACAAAAGTAATACCTGTTAAGAAAATTGTACCGTATCCTGCCGAATTTCTTAATATATGCATATTTGGTGTTGTCTGTGAAATAACTACAGATAATTTTAAATTATCAGTAAGTATATATTCTATATATATAATGTAATGATATATTCTCATAAATCATATTATTGATTATATTAAAATATTTTACTGATTAATTTTTATATTTATTATATGAATTATAGACAAATAATCATTATGAATTTAAAGTAATAAATTGTAAAGATGAAGTTAGCATTGAAATTCAAATAGACGACAAAAATAAAGCAACAGGTATTTTAAGACGATGGGAGCCAAAACCTGAACAAAGTGGCATTCAGTTATCTGAATTAAAAAATGGGTCTGAGGTTTGTAATTTCATAAAAAGAAAATCATTATATTATAGACAATATGTTAGAATAATTATTATCTTGTAGGTTTGCATTACTTTTTATCACAGTCATTATTTAATGTATGTTCGCTCTCTGGAAACAGAAGATTCAGAGAAATTTAATAAACTCATGCAAAGGCTTGCAAAATGTGCTCAATCTGGTATATTTTTAAAATATTAAAATTTTTAAAATAGATTTTTTTTTTTTTCTTGTTATACAGTTTACATTTTTGTAATTTTAACATTTGTTTCCTCAAGCTGAACATCTCAAAGAGCCTCCGGTATTAGGGGAGATGATAATGGCACAATACATTGATTATAATTTTTATCGTGCAATTGTTACAAAAATACAGGGGGAAGAAGTAAATATTTCTTATATAGACTTTGGAAATACTGAAAAAATATTATGGAAGAAATCACGAATATTACCTGATGATTTGAAAATGGTAAAGACATAATTTTTCTTTATATATGCAATTGTTATAATAACTAATAAATATTTTTTTTGTTTTCGCATAGCATCAATCATGTGCCGCAAAAATTTATTTAAAAGATGTACCAACTGATATTGTTATGACCAAAGAAGTGACGGATTATCTTCTTGATTTAATAGGTAGAGAAGTACCTTTAAAATGTAATTTTGATGGTAAATCCTATAAAGATGGTGTATATTTAACTATGGCAAATGGAGAAAGTATTAATGATAAAATAAAAAAATTGCTTGTACCAAGTTGGGAAAAAGAAAATCATGAAGGTAATCAATCTCTCTTCTATATTATTAAACGCATACTTTTAGAAAAATCATATAAAAATATTCTATGTTGTAGATAATAGAGTTTATCTGATAAACGATATAAATATAGTTCCTTTGGGAGATGTTGGTCAAACCGTTAATGTTTTGGTCTTATCGACTATTAAAGAAGGCATTGACTATTTCATGTGCCCTTTGGATATTGAAGTGATAACACATGTTCACGAAATTTTGCCCTCATTGGTAAATCTTTAATTATATTTATTTCTAATTATATTTTTGATAATATTGTGTATTTATTGATATCACGTTGCAGATAAATAAATACTGTGAAAAAACGGATTATTATATTCCTCGAAAGAATGAGTTATGTTTAGGTTTGTACAATGATAATTGGTATCGCGCAGTATGTTTATCTCCAACGGGACCGACAGGTAAATCTATTGTATTTTATATCGATTATGGAAACTGCGAGGAAGTTCCACACAAAGATATTAGACCAATGATACAAGATTTTTTAATACCATCTGCTCTTGCTAGCATGTGCACCATTGTTAGTAAGTATTACATATATACGTGAAAATGTATTCGATACGAGTATACTTTTAATTAGAAAAAATGTTCACGTTTCAATATCATTTTTTTTTTTTTTTTTATTTTATTTTTTTTTTTTTTTTATTTATTTATTTATTTATACAGATTTGGCTCCAAAAGAAGAAAATGGATCTTATTCTACTGAAGTGTTAAAAAGAATATCGGAATTAATTAATCCCAATGAAATTTGTCTAGCTAAAATCATTGATTTTGATAGCGAAGGAAATTATAGGATTGAACTTCCAGATGTTCGTGATAAATTAATTAAGGAAAACCTAATACCTCTCTCTTAAAAATATATCATTATTTTACGTTTATATTATTATTTACACATATAATGATTACATTTTAATATATGTGACAACATTTTGATTCCTTAATTAAAATATTTTTGATTTGGTTATCCAAGAAAAAAAAAAAAAAGAAAAGAAAAAAAAAAGCAAGAAGAATAATTCCATCTTGCTGATAAAATATCTTCCAGTCAAGATAGTGCAATATAAAAAATGTTTATAGTTATCTTTTAATTTTATTTGTCAAATATATTTAAGGAACTAAATCGTCTTTGATAGGCGAAAAATTAGCTTTTCTTTAAACTTCATTTAAAAAAAAAAAATCATTCAAATTTCAATTTCTTTTCATTTGAATCATTCTTATTCGTACTTTCATTTAAAGAAATATATATTTTTGAAAAGTAATTTTAAACAAAAAATTTGTGATATATATATATATATATATACATACATATGTATCTATAAAAAATAAAATTTTTTATTATTAATATATATTTCAAATTACATACATAAAAACATAATTAATAATATATACAATATATGTAGACGATCTAACGATAAATACGTTATCATTATGTCTATCGAAGATCATTAAAAATCTTGATGTTTTAGTTAGATAAAAATAGTATTGAAACAAAACACTAGAGGTCTCTAGTTGACTATTTTATCCTTATCTGGTACAAAGTACAGTTACAATTTAGTAATCCTAACCTTTCTTAATGTGTTATTTCAGATGACACTAGATCTTAATTGTGTATTGTTTCATTAAAATAGGAAAAAAAAAGGCTTCCGATACAGGACAAATACGATGAATGTTCAAATAAGGTACCCTTACGAGGGTTTATTACATAAATACACAAACGCGATGAAAGGATGGCAATATCGTTGGTTTATCCTTAGTCCTGAAACCGGTGAATTACATTATTTTCTTAGTGAATCCGAAAAAAATCAACGACCACGTTGTTCCATATATTTAGCCGGAGCAGTTATAGCACCTAGCGATGAAGACTCTAATACTTTTACTGTTAATTCTGCAACAGGTAAATCATTAATTGAAATTGTCTCTTTGAAGAATGTCAATATTGTCAAATATAATTTTAATCAATTTGATTGTTCTACAACTAATGTAGGAGATATGATCAAATTAAGAGCTACCGATGCTCGAGCTCGACAGGAATGGGTGGACAAATTGCGAGCAGTTACAGAAATGTATACAAGAGCAATAGCTAGTAGTCATCCTCCATTACCACCTAGAGAACATTCCACGAATACCAGTAGAAATCCTGTTGCCAAATTAGAAGTCCTCGATGCCTTTGCTAATTGCCAGGAGCAATTAAGAAAAGTGGAAAAACATAATGTTGCACTTGCACAATCAATTGAAAATTCGAATATGAACTTAGATCCAGATTTATTAGTTCTTAAAGCTATGGCTCATACAACGTTACATACGTTAAATCAATGCCTTAATATATTATACCAATGAAAGAATATTCTATGAGAGCATCTTTAGAAACTTGATACACAAATTTATTCAATATTTCTTTTGTTACATGAGAGTATTCAAGCATATCTAATTACATTTCATTTTGTTTCCATTTATATTTCCATTTTATACTATTTCATTTAATAAGTTTATCTACTTATCGATAGTGTAATCAAAGGAACAAGTTCTTCCGAACAAATAAAAGTCGATGCGGCTTCACGTTAAAAGTCATCCTTTTCACGTTAAATATCGTTTACATTGTTAAAAAAAAAAAAACGTTTCTAAATTTATTTCTTTCTTTTTATGAATTTAATAATAATACCTTTACATTCTTTGTGCTCTGTCCAAATATCGAAGCAATATAAAATAGATTTAAATACTTGATCTAACACCACAAGTATATACATTATGACGTATTATAAAGAGATAAAAAAAAACTAAAAAAAAAAAAAAAAAAATGTTACCTTCTGAATATATAAATAAACAGCTGGTTATACAGGCACATTTATGAAAACATAACCGAATTTTAAATAACTTAGAATTAATATTATGATTTAAAAAAAGAATAAATGATCCAGCGTAATGTGTATGGAACGCATTCGATCAAATTTAAACGATCTTCATGATAAAAGAAGGAACATATCGTTATAGAATGAAAAAGGATTAAAAAAAAAAAAAAAGAAAAAAGACGACAAAAATAGATCCCATGATCATACGAATATTTGAGTAGAAAAATATCCATATGGATCATCGAATGCAATCGTAGAATGTTAGAATCAATGTCAAGGACAAGGAATTAGGTGAAGGTAAACCAGCGAGAGTAAAACTCTCATCTCACTCGGAACTTTATTATAGTAATCTCCAACATAGTATAAAAGAAACATCGATAATATTGATTGCAAAGAAACTAAAATCTTTTTCCCACGAAATCGAATTGATTATAAGAAAAAGATAAAGAAGCAATCATTATAATTAACTTTTCATAAGTAAAATGATGATATATCCTGCCATGGTAAAGTAAAATTTGGGAAGCCATGCGTGAAAATTGTAAAAATTAAAAATGTCTCATACGTACGATACGGAATTACTCGCTGAAGCAGCTGGTGTGAAAATTGTTAAGACGTCCGCTACATCGACCAATAAAATCATCTTACAATTTGACGATACAAGCGAATTATCTACGAGGAACGATAAATCTTCATGTGGATTTCATTTGACTAAATCGAAATGGGATCCGTATCCTTGGGTAGGATCCGTCGAACATGAAAGTATTGCCGATCGAGCAGGATTAAGGTATATTTTTAAAAAGGTTCACAATCACTCAAGCATACTATTTTTATTTAATACAAATTAATAAAAATAATATTACTTTAATAGAAAAGGTTTTTTTTTTCACACAATCTAATATGTACATCAAATGATTTCTATATAGGATCTATATGATTTAATTGATCATCGTAATAAATTATAAAAATCTGATCGTATGTATCATTATCCGTAATTATATTATTATAGAATGAAATGATCGATAAGCGATCTATGACCTGCTTATCCTTAATTAACTTTTAACAAAATAATATACCGTATCTTTTCATAGACCAGGCGATTGTTTACTCGACGTCGACGGTACAAATGTATTGGGTTTAAAAATGAAAGATGTTGGAGCTTTGATAAATAATAGAGAAAATAGAAAAAACGTGAACCTTCGTATTTGGAGATACGAATCGAATTCTTTAGAAGACGAAGAAACTGGTATAGCTTTGAGAGGACCACTTCCGGAAGTAGCTACGAAACTTGCTAACGCGTTATCAGGAACGGTTGGTTTTATAATTTTATCATTTTATATTTTATATTTTATATTTTATATTTTATATTTTATATTTATCGTTTAATTGATATTAATCATATATATTCGATGTTATTAATTAATTTATTAATATATGTGTATGTTCATATACAATAGATCCATACAAATAAATCAGTGATTGTAAAAAATGGTCTAAGTAAGAAATTTCACATAGGCATTGTTTTTCACACGCTATTCTTAATATTTTTAAATTACCTTAAAGATTTAGTTTTCTTAGGAATAAATATGTTTACTTTTTTATTTTTTCATTACAAAAAAATCATATTTAAATAAATCAAAAGCCGAAGATCAAAATACCTCAAAAAAAAAGTAAATATACAACTTAGACCACTTTCATTATCATCGGGTTTAAAAAAAATCTTTATTGCCAATTTATATTTTGTATTTGAATTTTTTCTATTATTTATTTTTATATATTTTAGATACGGTGTTTAGAATGTCCAGTTTGTTTAGAGAACGCAATACCACCAGTTTCACAATGCGTACACGGTCATATACTTTGTGTCGATTGTAGACCAAAAGCATCAAGATGTCCTGTTTGTAGAGTACGACTTGGTCAAGGTCGTTGTCTCATTGCCGAGAAAATTCAAAAAGTAATTCGTGATATTTTTCGTACGAATCATGAAATTGAAAACGATAATAAAACGACAAACAGGAATTTAATAGAACGTTTATTCGGTAATCGTTACAAGCCGAACTTAACGAAAACAAATCCGAAGAATATCAATGTCCTTCCAAAGTCACGACGATCGTTATTAAATAAATTGTTTCTTGGTGGTTTAGAAAAGGCTGCTTCTACAGAAAATCTAACAACAGTTTCAAAAGAACATTGTGAAGGAATATCAATATTTAGATCTAAGAAAGCCTATTGTGATATTAATTTAGAGAAACTGAATTTAAACGATCGACCAAAATCAGCAAGTACCGGTGAACTTTCAATAGAAAAATTAAATCGTCAAATGGATATCAATCATTATAAATCTAATCTAGAATCTATTAATATAACTCGATCGATGACACTAAACGTACCATTGAATGAATCAACTTGGAATGGATCGACTGATTCAATTTATAATATGTATTTAAGTTGTCCATTTTTTAAAAAGAATAAATGTGAAAAAATTCTAACGTTGAACACATTATTCGAACATTTACACATAAATCACAATGGTTCGTTAATACATTATAATGGTGGAAGAATTAAACTACCTATTCCACTTCCTTTTGAAACAGACACCATTTATTTATTACATTATGCAGACGATATTTATTTATTTCAGGTACGTTATTATAAATTTTGATGATAGAGTATTTCTTTATATGTTATTTGTATTATAAATATGTATATATATATTTATATATATATATATATATATATATATATATATATAATAAAAATGTGTAGATAGATAACGATTCATTATGGATGACGAGTGTGTTGGGAAAAAATAAAGGTTTCGAATGGATTTTATATGGATGGGGAAATAATGGAACGGAAATAAGATGTCGTAGATTTATAGCGAACCTTGAACATCCTATGATACTTTCATCTGAAAATGTTGCGCTATTACCAAAAATCCTTGGAATACATACGATCGACATCCATATTAGTGATTTTGAAACAATAAACAAATCGGAAAGATGATATAAAAATGAATGGGAATAAATTTAAAAAAGGTAACAATATTTTATTATTGATTAATAATAAGTTTCGTTTACATGCATATTTTCATGTATATAAAAGTATGAAGAGAGGAGGAAAAACGTTAAAAATATCGTATCAATATTTATATCTATCATTTTAACAAATATTTTAGATTAAAAAAAATGAAAGACATTAGGTGTATTGATTAAGTATATATAGATTTTTATCTAAATGGAATATTAAATGTTGTTACTTAGAAATTCTTACATAAAAATTTTATTACAAGACGTTTAGAATATCTTATGATCGTAACAATGATTAAAATTATAACAATTTATTCATGGTTCTTTTTTTTTCCTTTTTCTTTTCTTTCTTTTTTTTACTATTTTCTTTTTTCTTTTTTTTTTTTTCTTTTTTTTTCCTTTTTCGTTAAAATCTGTGGAATGTTCAATTAATAATAACAAATGTATATTCTAATTAAAAAGTTAAGGCATTTTATGTAATATGTCATCCATGTAAGGTTTAAAAAATTCGAATTGTCCTGTTCGCGATGCTTGACCGGCCATAACATCATACGCATATTTCATAACCGCTAAATAATTTTCTTTGCCAACAATATTTAATTGAACATTATAAACATGCGTATCGTATGACGGTAACATAACTTTTTTATTTTGAGAAGCTGAAAGTTTTCTTTTTTTTGAATTAGGTAAAGTATTCATAACTTCAGCTTCCTCTTTTTCTTTATCTCTCTTTGGACAACTACAGACTCTAACCAATAATCGACGGCGCCCAATAACCTTGTACATATGATCTTCTAACGTAAATACAAGCTCTGTAGGTCTACGATTCATGCCTGACGTACAACTATTTTTACAAAAGAATTTAAAATACATTTGTACATATTGCGAACCGACTTGTGGCGTACGCAACGGTGTAACTATAGATAAATGTTCGTTATTTTCTTCGTACATACTTAATGGATCTGTACAACGAACAACGTGCTTAATTATCCTGGGATCTATGTCTTGATTGCTACGATTTGATTGTGCCATATGATTATGGCATCTTTGTACTGGATCATTTCTGTATTGATCCAAACTAAATACCATGGATGTGCGCAAATATAAGCCATCCAAAGGTGGATCCCATTTGAATCGTAAAGGCAGTGTTTGTTCCATATTGATAAATACTTTTTGAAGATTTTGAGAGTACTGTACAAAAAAAGAAAAAAAGGAAAAAAACCATGTATAAGTACAGATTTTAAAATATTTGACGCAATTATCATATTCAGATGTGTTATGTATTTTTTACATTCTAGAAATTATACTGCCTTTAAATTATAATAATTGCATTTGTTTATCCTATCTTTGCTATACACATCTTTTACATAAACAATATCTTATGCCCACAAAAGCTTAAAACAGACACATATGCTCTATAATTCTATAGCTTCCAAACAAAATATCTTACTTTTGTCTTCTTCTCAGTGCTTTGTAAGTTTTGTAATTGTATATCGAAGATACTGTCTGTGCAATAGTCAGACTATTCCATTTGAGCATTATGTAAGCTGCAATAAAGACTTGAAAAAAAAATCATCATTATTCAACACCGGGAAGAGGCAGAATTAATCTGCAATGAGGAATATATTATATTAATAAAAAAAAAAAATGAGAATATTCAAACGGCAAAAAATTGGATTAAAAGGAAACATAAAATTTTCAGTCAAATTTTATAATGGCAAATATATTAGATCTGCAATGGCGCAAGAGCACAAGTACTCAAATTTATTTCTTTTGATAAACTGTAGAATGAATTCTATTGCAAACCAATAAAAAATGATGATTGTGTACTAAACTAAAACTAGGAAAAAAGAGAATATTATAAGAATATTATCAGAATGAAATTGAAATTTTTGGAATAATCAAACTTTTGTGTGCTATTATAGAACAAAATTTCTATTAAATAATCAATAATGAAATAAATCAATGGGCAAAAAAAAAATATCAATAATTTCTAATTATATTGGCAATATAAATTCAAACAAAATATTTTAAGAGTCCTAAAAATAATGTTGACATAACACGTACATTATTAACATTTTTAATATATTATATTATATATAATAAATAAATAAATAATTAAAAAAAAAAAAAAAGAATAATTAAATGAAAACACTCACCACCCAATGTTTTGGTGCATTCTGATTTGGTAAAAGTAGTTGAAAATTCAGATGTCCAGGAAATTCTTCCTTTGTAGGGATGGCTTCAGGTCTTGGATAAAACTGTTCTTGATCTTGCTCTTCTAATGGATTTTCTTGATTTGAATAATTGCGTACATTATATTTTTCTTCTGGCATATCTTCCATTATTTCTTTTGTTAATAAAGGTAGATTGTTATCCCTGTATAAAAGAAAACATACAAACATATATATTATATATTTATGGACATTTTAAAAATTTAATACAAAAATAACAATTAAAAGATACAAACTTAAAAGATAAACTATTATTTGTGCCAATGTTTCATTCTTCTATTTTTCTTTTCTTTTTTTCTTTTTTTTTTTTTTTTTTTATCATATGTCATATAGAGATATTATTAGTAAATAATATTTATATATTTACATATTATAAAAATATAAAAAATGATATATTACGTGTATATATTTGTATATACATATTAAACCATATACAAAATGGAAGACAAAGAGTACTAGAATATCAAAAAATTGTATCATACATAAACTATACCTGTTATTGTTGCTGTTCGTAAAAAAAATAATATATTTTAAATATATAATTTTATATTAAATATAAAAAATACTTTCACACATTAATATTAAATATTTTATGAAACATTGTTTACTTCGGCACACGCGTGTATCAAGTGATTCTATTATACAAATTTCTTACATGATTTCCTTGCGCAATTGATCATATACATCATCTTCGAATAGAACTGATTCTTGCCAATCAGAAAATTCATTGGAATTTGACATTTTAATAAAAAATTACACCGTCGCACTCTTTTCAAGCCGGTCAACGTCAAAATTAAACTATACTCCGAACTAGAAAGACGCCATATGTAATCATACGAAAAACCTTTGTCTCTGGGATACCCAACAATAAGAGATCGTTTCCGATATATCAGAAAAATGATTGGTACGATTTAAGAAATCTACCTATTCAATAAGTATTCATTCTGACACACTTACACGTGATTGGTGTAACCAATTTAAATGTCACCAATCAACTAATTGTAAATTCGCGCTGCAACGTAGTAGGCGTGGTTAAGTAACTTTAGCGCCAAAATCGACAAATCTAAAATGCCGTAGAAGAATAAGTTTAATATTAGATCGATGCTGATTGGTTATAATTTAGTTTTTCAATGATCAAAACTGCAACGTCATAACCAATAAACAGGTTCTTGTAACTCATCATACTATTGCTATTTGGGAATGAAATTTGAAAAATAATTCAAATTGACTTTGAATTAAAAATGAAATTAATTTGTAATTTTATGAATGATATCAATATTTCTTTTAAATAATTATTGTAAAACAATTTAAAGTGAACGTGACACAAATTAATTTTATATTTTGATGATATTGCTGAACGAAAAAAAAATGTCTATTGCTTCGTGCCAATTGCGGCAAAATGTTTTTAACTTTGAATATGGATTTACATCAATATTATGATTGGTTTGTTAAAAAATTAAAATTTAATTAACGATATTAAAATATACAAGATGACGTCTGCCAAGATATAATATTTTGCTATTTATTACTATACATCAAATTTATTAATTTTTGTAAGACCCAAGAAAAATGTTACATTACAGAATCATTACAAACATTATGATGATCTTACAATTGTATTTGAATTAAAGTATAAAATGACGTCAGTGCCGCCAGTAAAGACCAAAGCGACGAACGAAGTACAAAATTTGGATGAAAAGTATGGAGAAAAGTCAGATAAAAAATTAACAGTACTTGAAACACATGGTTATGCTATTGGAAACGTAATCGGCGTGGGTTCTTATGCGACAGTCAAAGTATGTGATTCAATTTATATATACAAATTTTTTAAAAATTATATATATATATATATATATATATATATATATAATAAATTTTTACGCAGGTTGCAATATCAGAACGACACAATGGTCAAGTAGCGATAAAAATAATTTCGAAGTTCCAAGCACCAAGTGATTATTTAAAAAAATTCTTACCTCGTGAAATTGAGGTTGTTAAGGGATTAAAACATCCAAATTTAATTCGCTTTTTACAAGCTATCGAAACGACACATCGGTTAGTAAAAAATTTGATTTTACACGTTTAAGAATATATCAATTTGCATAATTATTAATGAACAAATCCTTGTAACAATGTATTGTATACAAAAAAGGGTATATATAATTATGGAGTATGCACAGAATGGTAGCTTACTTGACATTATAAGACGCGATACTTACATCGACGAAGGTCGCAGTCGTAGATGGTTTCGTCAACTTCTTGATGCCGTTGATTATTGTCATGAAAAGGGTGTAGTTCATAGGTAGATATTTTACATCCAATAAGCATATATATATATATATATATACATATATATATATATATAAAATTATACATATATATATGTATGTATATATATATCTATATATATATATGTATGTATTTGTTTAGGGATATAAAGTGTGAGAATTTATTAATGGATAATAATTTGAATATTAAATTATCTGATTTTGGTTTTGCACGTGGTCATATGAAACCAAAAAATGGAACATTACCTCTTAGCGAAACTTTTTGCGGTAGTTACGCATATGCATCACCAGAAATATTGAAGGGTATACCTTATCGACCACAATTATCAGATATATGGTCTATGGGCGTAGTTCTTTTTGCCATGGTTTATGGACGACTTCCTTTTGACGATACAAAATATACTCTCCTTTTAAAGGTATTCAAATATATTAACAATGATCAAAAGGAAATTAATTATGTATCAAAAGATTACATCGGCTCTAATAGATATTACTTTTAATTTTTCATATTTCCATGAGTTTTTATTTGAAATTAGCAAGTACAAAACAAGATTACATTTCCTAAAGAACCAGATGTATCTGAAGCTTGTCAATCCCTCATTAGTCGTATACTTGTAGCACAACGCCATCGTTTACTTATTAATAACATTAGAAAAGACATATGGTTAACTATGGCCAGTGTAGCTATGCAAACATCTGCTATAAATGAAGTAATACTTTTTTTTTCTTAGAAAAAAATGTTTAATATATAAATAATATAAATAATATATAACAATTAAGATATATTTATAGAATGATTCATCAATGGCAATTAAACGAACAAAGTCTAAAGAAAATCATATAGAACTTATGAAAACTAAGAACGATAAAGATTTACTTAAAATCAAAGATGCGAAAAATACCAAGAATATTAATACTAATACTTCTAAATATGATGTCAATATTCAATTGCAAAATGCTTTAATGAATGATTGTTATAATCAAGGACAAAATCGAAACTAGTATTTTGTATAATAAAGTTATTTTTACATACTGAAAAAATAGAAATTATTGATCATATGATAGAATGTTAAAATAACATCGTAATTTTTTTTTTTTTTTTTTTTTTTTTATTCATTTTTAGTTAGTATCTACAATAATACTACTTTTACATATATCATTGACAATATTACTTATACTCAGCGCTCTTTTATGTCTATATTTATTTTAAAAATTCACAAAAATGCATCACCTTTTAACACAAACAAATTAAAAGTCTCCGTTTATAATATTTTATTTCTAAATTACATGAAAGATCGATATTTTGCTAGCACAAGTAAAATCATTGTACCAATTATAAATACACCAGGTGCTGTTACTTTATGCATGTATTTAACATCATCTGTAAATTGATATTTGTATATATATATATCTATATTATTTGTTACTTATAATACAATAGAAATATATATAATATAAACATCTTTTATTTTTTACCATCTATATCAGTAATTGTATTCCATCCTAAACTTCTTTTAATACCTTCTTTCCATTGTGAATATAAGATATTACTTTCTACAAAATGAATACATTTTATTTACCTATAAATTATGACATTATATATAATATTACAATAAAATATATATGTATTAATTACCATCTTCAGTTATAGTAGGTAAGAAGATGTCACTAGGTATAATTAATTCTGATTTTATATTCCATTTACGTATACCTTCTGCACTACCTGCAGCAATTGCAGCTCCAAGTGCAGTTGTTTCAGACATTAGTGGCCTAACTTTCTTGTAAAAAGGTTTATTTTATTATACATTCCTATTATATAAAGTAATTATTTTTAATATAATAGTAATTACATATAATAATTACTTACTCACTGGAATCCCAACAATATCAGCTTGCATTTGCATCAATAAATTATTATTAATCATGGCACCATCTACTAATAACTTGGACAATGTTACTCCTGCATCGTTTTTCATGGTTTCTAAAATATCTCTTATTTGAAAACATATAGATTGCAAAGTTGCTTTTACGATATGAGCACTTGTTGATCTTTCTGTGACTCCACATATAACACTAAAAATTATAGTGCTTTATTTAATATTTTTATTCATTTGATATAAATTTTTGTATAAATGTAGAAATATTTTCTAATCATTTCTAAGACTGAGTAATACTTTTTATTTACCTTCTAGCATCTTTTTTCCAATATGGCGCATATAAACCTGAAAATGCAGGGACAAAAGTGACGTGACTATCGGTAGAAACGCTTTCTGCTACAGTTTCACTTTCTTTTGCATTTGATAACATTCCAAGATTATCTTTTAACCATTTAATAACAGCTCCAGCAAATGCTATAGAACCTTCAAGAGCGTACACTGGTGTTGCATTTGGACCAAATTGATATGCAACTGTGGTTAGTAAACCATGAGTTGAATCTACAACCTGTTATATGTAAACAATATAAAAAAAAATATTAATTAAAAAAAAAAATTTGCGTACATCCTACTTAGTTTTATTATATATATAACATATAACATTAATTAATTACAGTAAATTTTATATTAAAAAAAAAAGTAATTTAGTAATTTAATTAATAATAGAAATACATCTTACAGTAGTGCCTGTATTGTACAAAAGAAAGCACCCAGTACCGTATGTACTTTTAGCTTGTCCTTGTTGAAAACATGATTGACCTACAAGTGCTGATTGCTGATCTCCTAAACACTGAAATATAAAATAAATTTTATAAATGCATCTAACTTTTTTTACGTAAAAAAACATGTTATTAAATAAAAATATATTACATACTCCAGATATTGGTACACCATGAAGAATATCATCCTGAATATACCCATAAATTTCTGACGAACTTCGAATTTGTGGCAGAATACTTGATGGTATTTGAAAAAATGATAGTAGTTTCGGATCCCATTGTAAAGTTCTAATATTCATGAGCATAGTTCTTGAAGCATTTGTAACATCTGTAGTGTGAACACCACCATTTACTCCTCCAGTTAAATTCTATGTTTATATCAGAGATAGTATTATGTTGGGTAGAGGTTTGCTATCATTGTACTTTAAGGTCCATCATTATCATCTGTAGAAAAAAACAATAGACTAACCCAAATAAGCCAGGTATCTATTGTCCCAAACATACATTGTTCATTGGCTAATGCTTCTTTAACTTCTGGTACATTTTCCAGTAACCATTTTATTTTTAAAGCACTAAAATAATGATTGATAGGTAAACCACATAGAGACTTCAGACAATTTTTATTTTGGTTCCTTATTCCTTTTAATATGTCATCTACCATAGGAGTAGTTCTCATATCCATCCATACTGGAAATTATTCATAAGAAAATTAATTGAATTATAACAAACACATTAAACAAATTATTACCGATTGCGTTATACAATGGTTTTCCTGTAACAGAATCCCATACAACTGTTGTTTCTCTTTGATTTGCCACTCCAATAGCAACTATATCAGTTGGATCTATAGTCAATTGCTGTAAATTAAATACAGTTTGACGAAGACATTCTCTAACTGCATTTAATATTTGTATGGGATCTTGTTCAACCCATCCTTCCTTTGGATAAAAATGAGTGATTGAAATTTGATGATAAGTTAATACTTCGGCTGTCTCCGCAGCAAATACCTACAAGTAGAAAAAATTTAAAATGATACTAAAATGACTGATTTATTGTTATATTTATAATAAATTTTATATATTCAAGAAAAAAGAAAAAACGACCCATTAATAAATATATTATATAAATATATAAATTAATAAATATATAAATATATAAATATATATATAAATATATAAATATATAAATATATAAATATAATAAATATATTAAAGATAAGAGAAAAAGAAATATATATTATACCAAAAATCTAGCACTACTCGTGCCTTCGTCAATTGCACCGATGAGAGGTCCATATCTACTCATGGAATCATTTTTATTCATTTGCCTGAATTATTCGAAAAACTTTTACTACGATTATTGTTTATTCAATATCATCCGATATTTGAATAGGAATCATTGATCATAAACGAAACGAATGTAATCGCTTATAAAACGAATGAATTTGTTTACAAAAATATAGTATAAAAAATTGATAAACAATAAATATCCCAATATACTATTCTCATAGTAAATACATTTATATCTTTGACTATGAATCTATGAACCGGCAATAACTACTTTCAGCGCCCTCTAGAGTTAAAAATTAATCATAAGTTATTCATAGATCTTACACATTATAAGATATACTCTACTTATTATTTTTATTTATCTTTATGTATATACATACATATATACATATACATATATATATATATATATATATATATATATATATATAATATGATTAAATTTTAATATTTAAAATTAATATACAATTAATTATTCAGTAATTTATTATTCATTAATATTCTTCAAAAGTTTAACGATAAGATATTCGTCACATTTTAACACTTAAATTTGAACATTGGATTACAATTAGTTCTCAAATATTGCGGCGCTGTAGTTGTCAAAAACAAGTTTTGTTTTTTATACTTTCTGATTATACATTTGTAATTTTTACAAATTAACAGATTATACTGACTCTACCAACTTAAAAAATTATTAATGATGATTTATGTCATCAATAAATTCTTAATATTTATAAACATTTAAACATGTATCTATTATTAATTTTTTGATATTATTAGAACTTTACAAATATATATAATTATTATTAATTTGAGAATTGTAAAGTTTTATCTTTTGTATTGCACTTGTATAATTCAAATATGTTGACTCAAAAGTATCTTTATTTTAATACGAGAATACATCAAATATTATATAAACAATTAAAAAATTTCTATTTTCATAAATACAATTATTCTAAAGCAAATGATGTAAATGTAGAAGATGGCGAAAGAATGACAGATTTTGGTTTTAAAAAAGTCAAAGAAAGTGAGAAAGCTAAAGAAGGTTAATATTATTATAGATTAATATAATATTTTTAATCTTAAATTAAAGTTATATGTATTATATTATATTCTTATTTTTCTAGTTCATACAGTGTTTGAAAATATTGCAAACAATTATGACAAGATGAACGATATAATGAGTTTAGGTATTCATCGGCTTTGGAAAGATATATTCATTCAAGAATTAGCACCTACTCATGGAACTCGTCTCTTAGATTGTGCGGGTGGTACAGGAGACATATCCTTTAGATATATAAATTTTTTAAAAAATACTAAAAATATTAATAATGTAGAAAGCTATGTAACAGTAAGTGACATAAATGAACATATGTTAGATGTTGGTAAAATAAGAGCAGAAAAATTAGGATATACAGTAGAAAATAACTTTAACATTGAATGGAAGAAAGAAGATGCTGAAAATCTTAGCTTTCCTGATGAATCATTTACAGTATATACAATAGCATTTGGTATAAGAAATGTTACTCACATTGATAAGGTAATATCATTGTTATTGTGAAATTTTATTTAAAAAAATATAAATTCATTTATATTAATATATTTTAATAAATACTTAATATAAATTTATTGATTTCAATTATAGGTGCTATCAGAAGCATACAGAGTACTCAAACCTGGAGGTAGATTTCTATGTTTAGAATTTACTCATCTTGAAAATGATTTTTTACAATGGTAAATATAACACCTATCAAATATAATAGATTAATTTGAATAAATTAAATGAATTTTAAAATAATATATATTTTTCAGGCTTTATGAACGATACTCTTTTCAAGTAATACCAGTGATAGGTACATTAGTCACTGGAAAATGGGAGCCTTATCAATATCTTGCAGAAAGTATAAAAAAGTTTCCAAAGCAAGAAGAATTTAAAGTAATTATAACTTCTTTAATCATTTTCTAATGTATTATGGTAATTCAATTTTATTACAATATTATGAATTGTTTACAGCACATGATAGATATGAGTGGTTTCAGAAATACTAGTTATAAAAATTTATCTTGTGGCATAGTAGCTATACATTCAGGATTTAAAATCTAAAGATAATAATATTGTTATAAAAGTAGGAATGTAAATAAATGTAAAAGAGAAATCTACATATTTATTATGTTAACATTATATAAAAATTATTTTGTATATGTTGTGTAACTTTTGTTTTTATTTCACTATAAAAAATAAAAGACGTAAGTAAGAATAGTTTTAATAAACGGATGTATTTTAATAGTTTGATTGTTGCTCACGTTGCTGTATCCATAACTTTTTTTTTTTAATTATTATTAGAAACAATTTGAAAATAGCGCCAATTATTATGATATCTAGTTGTATCAGTTGTCCAATTGAAGCATTTTCATTGGCGAATCAGAAATACATCGTATATTCGTTATGGATAGTTCACAAGTTTAGGCAAAATATTCGTAGTGAAGTATAATCGATTGATTCGCGAATAAACTAGATATCATTTATTTTAGTTTTAGAGTAAAAGTCTGACATGAAATATTAAAAATGGCTAGGTAATAGTTTATTAACGTATATGTGTTAATCACAGAAATATTTGAAAATGATTATTAATACAATAATTAATTTATTAATTTATTATTAATTTTATAGCATTCCTTTTTATGTAACATTAATAGCGATTTGTATAATACCCTTTATGAAGCTATAATATAGCTGTCTACTGTACTTCCAAATAATTTTGGAAATGAGGTAATAATCCTTTACAAAGATAATTAAATATATTATTTTTGATATGATAATTTTTATTAGATGTGCTTTTATTTTTTGATGATTGATGCACTAATAAAAATTATATGTTTAATATTTAATATTTAATATTATAGTTTAAATAATATCACTTATTTGATTTATATAATTACAGAATATAAGAGAAAAGATTTATGTGCTTTATTAAAATCTACAACGAACAATGGTAGTAGGCGTATTTCCTGTTCTTAAATTAGGTGTATTATTTATTAAACAAATAAGTAAGCCTTTGGCTAAGTTAATAGTTAATCAAGCTAAAAATCATCCTATATTCCGTAGATACATTATTATTCCACCTGCTCAATGTAAGTATTAACAATGTAACATATAATATAAGATAAAAATGATAAATTTTATTAAAATCAATTATTATAATATTTTTTGATACAGTGTATCATTGGGCAGAAGTAAAAGGTAAAATGTATATGATGAATCTTGGAAAACCAACAAAAGTAGCAAAATTAAATGAAGCTATGGCAATAGAATTAGGAGCTAGTTTAATGGGAGAAGTTATTATTTTTAGTCTCGCTGGTGCATGTGTAATGTTAGAATATAATCGTCAAGTAACTAAAGAAGCAAAAAAAGAAGAAGCACGTTCTGCACAGATACAACAATTTATAGATGATATTAACTCATTACAACAAAATAGTATACAATTAAAAAGTGAAGTTCTGTCTTTACGAAATACCGTGGTACAATTAACAAAAGGTACAAAGTATGAACTAGCTGAACAATCGATATTGACAGAGATTGATAAAAAGATTGATCAATCACAAAGTACAAATACAGAAATAATCGCAGAAACAAATGATACAGAAAACAAACAATCACTGATCCAACGTGCTATAATATATTATGAGAATAATTTTAAGACAGATAGATAGAATTAGATAATTAAAATTATTTATTTTTATTTGAAATATGTGATAACTCAGAGATATTTTCCAATGTGATTACCAAAAGAAATTTTTTATGTTTCGGTCAATAATAATTTTTTTTCCATACAATATTATAACTTATGTATATTATGTATATTTTGTATATATCAGAAGTTCTTTCAGATATGTAAAATTGTATTTTAAAATAACAGGTTGTCTCCAATAAAGCCCTCGAATATTATTTATTTGTTATCAGGGCATTTTATTCTAGATACCCTATAAATTTGTAACTTTACATTGCTTTCTTACTTCTGGAATATAGAACATATACAATATAAAATTTATGTTTGATGTCAGTTTTATTTTTTTAAATTATTATACTTCATTTTTCAAAGGCAAATAATGTAGAAAACTAAAATTAAAGCAAACTGAGGTAATCGATTAGTAAGACATGCTTATTGTTGCCACTACCTTACAATTTTACATGTAACTCTAGTCTTTTGATTAATACTGACATAATTTGTAATTACTATAAAAATCAATAAAAATTTTAACAAATGAAGGTATGTATTTAGTTTGTATATACATAAAGAGTAAATATTACTGAATTCATTTTTTTAACTTAAATTAATTCCTTCTTTTAACATTTTTTGAAGTGTGTAAATTCTTGATTCCAAATTTCCAAAATCAATTTCTGTAATACAAATGCAAAATTAATATAATAATAAAAAATTATAAGTATATAATACAAACTTGATTCTTTAGAGGAAATGTTGTAACGTGATTTTACAATGTTCCGATTCGAAGAATTTTTAGTTTGAAATGACTCCACTGAACTTCCTATAATTTTTGTCTATTGATATTAACTTGTAAATAATTACTATTTTAATATGGTAGAATTTTATATTATTGTATAAGAAATTTAAATTATCTGTAATACCAGGTGATAAGCTAGATGTTTTAAAATGACCAGAAATAGAAGGAGATCGACTTCTACTTCTTCTATTAATGGAACGACGACTATGCGAAGAAGGTGGAGGAGTCCGACGTTTAAACGCAGGACTACCATCACCAGATCTTCTGGTAGTAGACTCAGTAAGCTGACGTATTTTTAAAGACAATACAGCATTTTCAGTACGAAGTTTTTGAATTTGTACTCGAAATGATGTTCGTTCTTTGGCAACGCTATTTTCTAATGCACTTATTGCACTTGCTAATCGTCTTATACCCTTTCCTGTATTATTTAGAAATATAGATAGATAATGAAAATGAATTCATGTTATCATTATTATCATGTTCATCATTGATTCCTTATATATACCTCCATTAGAGAGTTTATGATTTTCTTCAAGTAACCTTTGATTTGTGATTGTAAGTTTTTCTATCCGTTTTTGAAGATCTTTATTCATACCAGTAGAATTTAATCTTTCAATTTCAGCTTGCAATCTTCTTATTGTTGCTTGCAATATTGTTGGATCAGGCAAACCACAGTATTCCAAGGGCAATGGATAATGGATTCTTAAGGTTGTTATATTCGAGAATACTTGTTTTACCTCCATAGAGATCAATTTTATACATATTGCTTGTATTTGATATTATATACTACATTGTGTTACAAGGTATTAGAAAAAAAACAAAATGTTTCACTAGATACATATATATAGATATCTTTATTCCTCAAGTTAATATCACATTCAAATTCGTATATCTATGAAAACTTTAAGAATAATTTATTTTATTACTTACCGATCAAATTCTACTGTATATGTTAAAATGAGATACCGTCGATTATTTGCCTTATTACTCATAGCTGAAACAGAACTACTATCAATTTTGCGAGAACGTAATAATTCTAGATCCTCAAAAGTCAATAAATCCAATGTGATAGACTCGCTTGTCTGTAAATTACTTTTTATTACTAACATCGATATAAATTTGATTTAAAGATAAAAATGTTATGATTACTTTTAATAGTCCTGATTGTAGCATTGCGACAAATACGTCAAACTGTTTATAATTTCCTGTTTTATGCGTCAAATTTTCAATATCTTGGTATATAAAAAAGAAAGAGAAATATTATTTTTATAATAGTAATATAAATATTGTAATATAAAATTTATATAAATAAACGAGACTTATGTAAATTAAAAAGCATTTATAATAAGAAGAATATAGAAATATTAACGAACATGCAGTATCATAAGATGATCGCCAATCCTCAGCAGTAAATTTATCAGTTATTGTCAATTCCAAACATCTTTGACATCGTTTAAAAGCCATCACTTTCATTTTTACGACATATTCTTTCCCTCCTTTAAAAGCATACGTGGTCACTAAATTAGATCCCGATTCGTTCATATTTAAAAATATAAGAGGATATAAGAAAGATCTAACAAAAATATTCTAAATGTATTAAACGAAATGGAAAAAAATGAAATAAGATCTTTTTATAGAAAGTGCGAAATTGTTATTATACGTAATCATATCGTGATGTAATATTAGATATTTAAATTATAATTTTGTGTATATATATATATATACACATAAAAATCTACGTTTATGGATGTTGTAATAATATCAAATTAATATCATAAAATATATAATAGTTCCTAGAACGAGTAACATCAAAGGATTTTGATTGTCGATGATTTAATACGTTGTATTAAAATATTGTCAATTGACATTTCAATTTCAATTTCTTATCGGCAATGTCGTTGTTTGTAATAATTTTACGAAATAATACATAGAGATACGTAGATGGCGCCATTGTATATGTTTCCGCAAGAGGGGAGTTTCCAATCCATGAGTATACTATATAGTTAGGAAGTGGCAGTAGGAAAATGTATAGTATAATATATGTAGTGTGATATATAGAAGATCAGCGTCAAAGCCTATAGCATTCGTACGTTTTCTCTCTTTTCTATGCGTGATTACTTGATTAATGTATATGATGGTCAAGTATTTGATGGAATGAATATCCTTATGTAGAGCCTCACAAAAGTAGTAAATGGAGTGGTATCAAATGCGGCATGACGTGCTCATCGCGTTTCAAAAGTAAGCAATTGTTTACATAGTATTCTTTGCCATTTATATACTCCGGTCTTTGTTGCCAAGTACAGCTGATCGAAATGGCAATTCAATAAAAGATATCACGATACAGAGAAAAATTCCTTTTCTTTATGTAGCATTGAATTGGGGAAAAAGTTTCTTCGTATTCTTTCGGCTGATGACATTATGATCGTATAACTCTTGTAATATTAATCAAATCCGGTAATAATTTGAATAGTAACGTGTACCTGAATATTTTTAAGAAAGCTTATGATTATATTCGTTTATTTATTTAAAAGTTATTACGTCTTGAAAATGAATGAAAATTAAGAAGAAATTCGATAAATTTTCAAGTTTTATTAAAAAAAAAAAAAAAAAAAAAAAAAAAAAAAAAAAAAAAAAAAAAAATATATATATATTTATATATATATATATATATATATATATATATATATATATATTATATATATATATATATATATATATATATATTTATATATATATATAAAAAGAGAAAAAAAAGAAGTATGCGAGTTAAGTTGCTAAGAAAATTTGTGATATTTACTGACTTGATAAAATGTCAATATTTTCTATCCATCTAAATAATTGATTTTAATCTCTATTATCTCTTATTTCCTAAGATTATATTAAGCAATCAAGAAAAAATGGCCGATATTAATCAATTTATGGAATTTTATCTCAAGAATGGTGCCTAATAAAACTTAGGTACATAATAAATTTCATTCGAAATGTTAAAGAACTTGATTTACTTTTGTATTAAAATATGAAGAAACTCTTCAATCTAGCATAATATCGAATTTTTACATATTTCAGTTGTACATTTTACAAAAGGTAAGGATAAATAAATTTAATTTTTTGTCAAAATTCTCACATAAAATAACAAATAAATGTATGTATAAACACATATAAACATTATAAGTTATTATATTTTTATTATATTCTTCATTTTTTAGATGGACCGACTTCGACTGTTGCCCATGGAATTGCCATCTGCTACCAGCATAAGCAATAATGGAAGTGTTAAAGGAAATATTAAAATTTCTTTTGTCAAGAGATTGGTAGTCGGATTTGTAATCTTGGCTGTGCTAGGCCTATTATATGTACCAGCATATCATTCAGCTCAGGGTCCATTTTTAGGCTTAGGTGAGACTCCATGCTCTACAGAACCTCTCAGTGGTTCGCACTTGGTAGCCACTGTAGGTATGCATTCATTAATGTTGCTTGATCACACATTCAACACTTTTCGCATTAGATTGCTCAAATATATAATTCATAGAAATTATAATAGAACTATTATAGCGTGGCCATAAAATATTATTTAAACAATTATCAATATTTAATTAAAATTAATGTTTTTGAATAAATGAAAATGCGTACCACATTTAAAAATAACATTGAAATATTTAGTTAACATCGGCAGATTTTAACAGGTTTAGTATGTTGATAAGTTTGCACTATGGTATGTTTTTTTAAAGTTTATTTTTGATTTTAGTTATAAACATTTAAGCATCATTGTGCTTTTAATAGCAATATTCAAAATTAATATCACATATAAAAAACCACAAAACTTAATTATTTGTTTATATTGCTTTGAAGCTTTCACATCTTATAGTGCATTTATTTAGAAAAATTCAAATGCAATTTGCAAAACAGTTTAAACACAAGATTGAATGACTTTTATAAATGAGGATTAAATTGTAGAATGCTTGAGCTATAGTAGATTTGGGGAAAAAACATATATTTATATGCATGATAATGCCAACAGCTATAAGATATTAGAGTGATGAATGTGATATTTTTTATATATATATATATATATATATGTATTATTTATTCATTATAAAAGTGTTTACTTTACAGCACAGTTACCCGGTTGGGCATATAATACTTCAAGAGATGTTAGAAATTATATTCATCCAGGAAATATTACTTCCATTTTGAATCCACTTGCTCTTTGTTTACCACCTCCATATTTACTTATAATTATTTGCTCGTCAGTGGCAAACTACAAAGCCAGAATGGCAATTAGAAATACTTGGGCTAATAAAAATAATTTAGATGTTTTATATAATTCTACAGTTAAAGTTGCATTTCTTCTGGGACAAAGTGATAATGATACACTTAATGTATGTATGTGTGTGTATAATTAAGTAAAGTTGTATATAAAAATAAAATTTTGCATTGTGCGTTTGTTTCCAGAACTTTATAATTGAAGAAAGTTTTCAATTTAATGATATACTTCAAGAAAGGTTTTTGGATACCTATAATAATTTAACATTGAAGTCTGTTATGATATTAAAATGGGTCACTACAAATTGCGAAGAAGCTAAATTTATTATGAAAACAGATGATGATATGTTTGTAAATATAAATCTTTTGATGAAAACCTTGCAAGCAAGAACACAATCTAAAGGTGTTTTACTGGGATCTCTTATTTGTAATGCTAGACCAATATCAGACTCGAAAAATAAATGGTGAGTATTTCTACAAAGAACAAAGTTCGTGGTTGCAATAATATTAATAATTATATGAAAAATTATATAGAAATGTATTCAGTAAAGAATATTTTATATACATTAGGTATATGCCAAAATATATGTATCCTGAAAAGGTTTATCCTAACTATCTATCAGGTACAGGATATGTTATGAGTATTGATGTAGCTTTTAAGTTATATCAGGCAGCTTTGATAACACCTCTACTTCATTTAGAAGACGTTTATATTACGGGTCTTTGTGCAAAGCATGCAAAAATACGTCCTATTAATCATCCAGGTTTTAGTTACGCGCAAAGAAAATTGGATCCTTGTATACTTAATAACTCCATAACTACACACAAAATTAATGCATCTGCTATGTATACAATATGGAATAAAATGAATAATAATACGAATATATCTTGTAAGAAACGTGCTCGTACAGGTAAACAAGTTGTTAGCTTAAGCAGAAATGGTAGAAATGTTGGTTATTACATGGTGAAAAGAAGAGCTATTAATAGATGTGTTTAGCACATTTGATTAGAGCATAATTGGATATATCGGTATTATCTCATGTATCGTACTGTATATAAAGACAACATACAGCATATCTTAAAATATTATTCATATTACATGTCACAGAACTTTCCAAAAGATTATTGCCTTATATGATTTTAAAAAAATGAGATTTGCAAAATTTAATATTTGCAAAAATAGTATTTCAATTGAAAATATAAGATATTAATTATTTCTAATATTAAGCTTTATACTTAGTGGTAGGTAGTGATCGATGTAGGCCTTCTTTTTCCATTTAAATCAAATTGTTAATGTGTTATTATGCGATAAAGATTTGTACTTGATATTTGAAAAAATTTTTATATTTTTCCATTTATGCCATAGTAGTTTATAAGGAAACACTGTCAATTAGATCTATGTGTATCAGTTATTGACTTATTTTGCAATGACATCTTATCATTTACGTTTAGCATATTTTTACTATATGAAGCACCTCACTATATATATTAATAATTAATAATTTACTATTCTGATATTTTAATTAATAGAAAGTGGATTTTAGTGAGCTTCTTTCAATGTAACTTTATTATTAGAGCATACAATATTATAGTTGAATATTTGTGATTTTCTTAGACGATTCCTATTTATATCTTATAAGAAATTTCTCGAATTTTATGAATATCTTATTAATCAGAACAGATCTGTTGTCCCCTCCTCTATCTATTATGATAATAATGCATCAATATATATAAATAATGTTTTTGTATCTTGTATTGTGATTTACAAATAATATCCTAATTTAAATTGAACTAAAAAACATTTATTACTAAAATATTATATTTTGTTCAATTTAGAAATTGATATATTCTATTTAATTTATAAGATATAAAAAGAAAGCGAATAAAAATCATAACTTTGTTATAATACCTTAAAAGATACACCAATAAAGTGCTTCCTTATCTTCTGTTATGATATTTTATAATAATGATATAAAATAGAAATATAATAATCTCAGAAAATTGATATTTACAAAGAAATAAGGATCTTTTATAAATGTACTAGTCTTTAATATTTTTATCTTGTTTTAAAATTTCCGTAATATTTTTATATATAAAAAAAAAAATAAAAAAAATAAAAAAAAAAAAAAAAAAAAAGAACAGAAAACATTTTTATCAAAAACAGCATACATTCCATTACATTTTAACTAAGAAATTTAATAAAAAATATAAAATTAATAAACTTTTATCAAATTAAATTCAATAATATGATTCCTTTAAACATGTCCAATCGTGTTTTTACTCTAGGAATTTTAAATCATTAATATATGTAGTTAACATGTAACTACGTACAATTTAAATAGTCTCGAGAAGGAAAGATTTATATAAAGAAAATTAAATTATTATCAGTAAATTAATATTTAGAAACAAATTTCAGAGACAGCTTAAGACAGCTTATCTTACATAGTTTTAGATATGATCAAAGCGTAGAGGATTTTTATTATTTATTAATTAAAATAAACTATATTGTTTGTGTGATTAAAAAAATGTCAATTTTCCGATCAGGTTGAGTTTACGTAATTTATTATATATTTCAAAATATTATTTTTTTCCACTATTATAATATACATATTAAACCGTTTGTAATCAAAAGAAATATATTCTTTTATTGTAAATTGATATAGGTACATTTATGATGCAGATTTATGTACAAATATTATCAGATTATTAAATTATATTAAATATGAAAAATTGTGTTCCATGACTCATACAATTGTATTTGATATACATATAATACGATTATAAAAAGTTACAAGAGAATGTTAAAAGCTTATGCGCATTTGTGAATAAATGTATTACTACTTTGGCTTTTATTGCTTTTGGACAGAAAATCTAACCAGCAAAAATTTGTTTTTTCTTACACAATTTTAATTATAATCAGTTATAGAAATAATATTTTAATTATAATCAATTATAGAAGTGATAAATGATAAAAATGAATAAAAAGAAGTTTATAGAAAAATATAAAATAAAGTGAACATAAATACCTATAAAAAATAAAGTTTATTTTTTACAATCTTACAGAATACAAGATATATTTTTATAAAAAGTTATTAAGATATATTGAAAGATAACATCATTGTTACATCAGAATTATCAAATTTGATAATAAACGATTGTAAACTATAATGATATTCAATAACTATTTTACCTAAATGCACTTATTCATTTTTTGCTTTAATAATTATTAATAATGTTTATTATCATTTTCAATTCATGCATAGTATCACTACACATGCATGAATTCACTTACTTAAACTGTCTAGGCAATTGTAACACACTTTTTTTTTTACATCACTTAATACAACTAATGTCACTTTTAGTAGCAAATGCTTTTCAATATTATTGTACTACATCTTTATTATAAGAATATTATGAATTTATATGCTAGTTCTATCTTGATCATTATTTGTTTTTTCAATTTTATTAGTTTCCTCTTTATCTTGTTTAGATGATCTTTTTAATTTTGCACTAACATCCTCCGTAATATTAATGGCCATCAAATTCTCTGCTATACAACTTAATTTATCTTGTGATTGAATCGAAGTTATACGTCTCTCCAAGTTTAATTTTTCTTTATTTTTTTTATGAAGACGATGTTTCTTCTTTTTCAATATTCGTAGATTTAATCTGGATGCTTCGTGATTACAAAATACATGTTGTGATTTAGTTACATTTGCATTAGAATTATCTTCTTCGTTTTTCTTCTGTTCATCATTGCAATTATCAAAGCTCATCCTTTCCATTAATTTTATAATCTTTCTGTTATGGTATTTTAATTTTTTTACTGTAGGATCATTTGAACTTCCAGTATTAATATCATTACCTTCTTGATGTTTACTTCTTTTTGTTTTTGATTTTAATGAACTATTATGTTTAGAATCACAACAATGACTTTCTTTATATGGAGTACTACTACTACTACTACTTTCTTTTACCATGTTTTGTTTATGATGCCTTTTGTGTTTTTTAATTTTTTTCTCTAATATTGAATTTGCAGGAAGCGGTATGTCATGAACTTTTTCTGATGTTGTAGTCTCTAAAATATTGTCATTGATAAATCCATGATCAACTTTTACTCTTCCATCTTTACTTCTCTTACGTTTTCGGCACGAGCTCTTTTCACTTTTTAATGCACTTGAACTACTACTACTACTGCTATTATCATTTATATTACAGGAAATAGTTAATAAACGTGTTAAATGTTGTATATTTTTTCTTTCTTTCTTAATTGTAGCTTTAGATTTTATAAAACCATTTTCTTTACTAGAGGATACATCTGTAGTTGTCAATGTTGCATTTGCATTATTATTATCTATTTTATGTCCACCCTTACTAAATATTTTTTCCATTTCTAATCTAGCTTTAGCTCTTTTACGAGCTAGATGGTTCATTAGATGCATCAATTTTTTTTCATGTTTGGCAACTCTTTCCAATTTCCCATTCATGTCTAAACCATGACGAGCACCTTTGTGTAATGTTCTACCTCCGCAAGCTTTAAAAAGTTCTTCGTCTGTTAATACTGGAATCTTCTTAATGGACTCTTTCTCTTCCTCTTTTTCTTGATCAGATTTTTCTAATGTAATTAATTTTTCATCTTGAAGCACGTTAAGTTTGCGAAAGTTATTATATTGTTCTTCTCTTGATTGTTTTGCTTTTAAATTCCTTAAAGCTGTATTCCGATCAATAACAGAAATAGAAACTTCATCATTTTCTGAAGTGACCAAAACATTTTTGGCAGCATTATTAAACGCAGTTTGCCACCAGTGAACTTCTTTCGATGGTTTGTATCCTATTCCTTCGCTATTCAATTTTAATTTTGGCTTTAAAGCTTCGGTTATTCCATTTTCATTTTTACCTAGTCCTTTTCCTATTTTTTGAATAATAAAATACAAAAATATATCCTTAGAAAAATATATTAAAATTGTTGATACGAAAGGGTGTTTCAAACGATATATAAATAAAGAAGGAACAAAATGAAAAAAAAAAGGAAAAAAAATATCATTCTAAAAATAAAATCATGATTAAGTGGCTTGGATGCATAAATCGAAATACATCTGTGATAAAGAATCATGTATTCCATTATACATAATTATTGAGTATACATTATAATCACAATACATGAAGAAAAATGCATCATATTATGATCATTTTATATTCAATTAATTACAATTTTTTTCTTTCTTTTTTTTTTATTTTCTTTTTCTTTCCCCTATTAAAAAGGATAAATTTTCTTTTTTCTTTTTTTTTTTTATTACAATTTACGCAGGGCACAGATACAACAACATATTTATATTAAATACGAGAGAAGAAAATTAAGGTTAAGTAGTATTTTAATCCAATGCATAAAGTAACATATTCGTTGCTTATTTATAAGATCTTTCAATATCGTACCTTCCGTCCAACCGTATTTTAGGAGTTGAGCTTTTGCAAAATTCGCCATATTAATATATGTAACTTTGATAATATGAAATACACATATTTTTTCTAACAGTTCAAGAATATAAAAAAGCACATACGATATTGACGTACCCTCAAACTAAGCTAATCGAAATACAAATGACCGAGGTAACACGTTAGATATTGATACAAAATTGTAGGACACACTTGTCTTCTCTAATACATCAATACACACCAGGTGTCTCTTTGGTTCTCAATTATAAAATCAACCAATCGGTGAAAGTCATTGACAAATATTCTCTTTTCATTGGATAAAGTAGACATTTTTCAAATTGTATTTACAAACTATGTCCTGTACGATTGTAAACAATTTTTAATTTTTTTGTTGTTTCACCGAACAAAATATATCGATAAATAAATACATAAGAGCCGGTAATTATAAAAGTGATATAAGTCATTTGAAATATTAAGAGATATTTTATCTCGCATGTTATTCTTAAAAATTTCATATTAGGTATATGCGTAAAAGAATTATTTTTTTTCTCAAGAATAAATATACTTACCTTTTTTTTATTTGTTTCGTCATAGAAATTTAAATAATAATTCACATTTAAATATTCAAATATCTCAAAATGAAAACAACAAAAAAAAAAAAAAAGAAAAAAACATGAGTTATAATACTTCAACAATAATATTGGATCATGCATACATCGATAACTCGTAAAGAAAAATGTCTTTTATGTAAAAACTATAAGAATCGATTATTGTAAATCGATATATTCGAATAAAACCCGTAATAGATAGATCTACGTCGAACCAGTTATTATGGTGAATTTACTATTGAATAATTTAATAATACGAACAACACAAATCGAGGAAGAAAATATTGATAGGGATGAGAATAAACCGGATGTTTTCTAATAACGGTGTTGTTAACGTATCGTTATACTTCATACGACGTTTTCTATTATTAAATAAATAAAATAGTGAATTCTTCTCGCTAAAACGTTACGTTATTGTATACTTGCGAACTCTGCCTATTTTTCTTTTATTCCATTCTTTCTTTCTTTCTTTCTCAGAGTATATAATAAAGTACTTAGAGTATCGTACAGATCGTATACTAAAAGAGAAAGAGAAAGGAAGAGAGAAAAAGAGAGAGAGAGAGAGAGAGAGAGAGAGAGAGATGGACATCTTACCGGTGAATTTTAAAATTTTTAATTTTTGCGGAATTTGGAAAGAGCAAAAGGACAAAAATATTTTCAGACGTCTCGTTAATCTTTTTCATGGGTATCGATATGTGGTATACATTAATAAATTATTTTATAATATTTGTTATGGAGAGAGTGGACTAAAAGTTTCTTAACAATCAATTATTCTTTTTCGAATCTTTTTAAGTTAATTTCATTGGCATCTAAAGATAATATAGAGATCATAAACTTTCTTACAGATTATTATATTTCCCTTTTTTTTTTTTTCTTTTTCACAGATCAATGATACTAACGATAATATTTTACATCACTTTAATTCAATTTATAGAAGTAATAAATTCCCTTGATAATCTTGACGACGTTACGGAAAGTATTTTCATGACATTCACATATATCGCTTTGTGTTTCAAATTTCTTAATTTTCTTTTGAGGAAAGAAAAATTATTAATTTTATTGAATCTCTTTCGTGAGAATATATGTCATCCGAGAAATTTAACTGAAGAGAAGATTCTGGATAATTATAGTCGCAGGGGTACGGAATATATCGGATAAATAATAATGCCGACGTATATATCTGATGTACTTAAAAAAAAAAGAAAAAAAAAGAAAAAGGAGATAAATAAATATATAAAAATACAAAAGTATAACATTAATAATTCAATTATGTCCACGATAGCTAAATGGTGTACTCTTAGCTTCATGACTTTGTGTCAGTCGACTGCATTGGCACTCATAGTTGCTCCTATCATGGAATTACATCATTCTAACAGAGCTTTACCATGCAAGGCTTATTCGCCGTATTCTATTGAAGGATTACATGCTTATTTGGCAACATATTTGATTCATGCTGCATCTATTATTTATGGTATACTTCTCAACGTATCCTTCGATTCTCTTGTATACGGTTTGACCCTTCATGTTTGCGGACAAATAGATATTCTCTGTGAACGTTGCATGCAAACTGTTCGAGAAGGTAATTCAAATGAAATAAAAGCATGTGTTAGACATCAAGTGTTTATTCACGATCTCGTAAAAAGAATAGAATATTTGTTCATTTGGACGGTAGCCTTTTTATTATTTTTCAGCTTGATTACATTTTGTACTACCATCTTTCAAATGTCAAAGGTGAGTTTTTTTCTCTCTTTTTTTTTTCTTTTTTTTTCTATTTATTGACGCAACTGAAAAATTCTTTTTCATATATACGACTTTATTTGAATTTTATATATATATATATATATATATATATTTTTTTTTTTTCTTCAGAAAGATCCTCTTACTATGGAATTTTTTTCCTATGTTTTATATATTGCCTGTATGATGTTCCAAATATTTTGTTATTGTTGGTACGGCAATGAACTTCGATTAAAGGTATATCTTTGATAGAAATAATTAAATGATCGAGAATTAAATGATCGAGATGTTTATTTAATTTATTTTAACACTTAGGGCAAAGAAGTCGCTAATGCTATTTATAATAGCGATTGGGTAATGTCAACACAGAGTGATCGTAAAAATCTACAGTTCTTAATGAGGATTAGTCAGAAAGAATTGACTTTATCTTATTATCGAATTTTTTCTCTTGATCTCGACGTTTTCACATGGGTGAGTAATTACAAATTACTTTTTACAACTATAAATATTATAAAAGTAAAAAGTTAATATTCTGCAGATACTTAAAACATCCTATTCGTTGTATAATATTCTTCAAACAATGTCGTATTAATTATAATCGCTTACATATTGTTTTTTATTTATAAAACAATACTGTCTCGCCTATAAAACGACGTTAAGAAATAAAAAAAAAAAAAAAAAATTCTACAAAGAGAAAATAAAAAGAAAGAAATATGATATGATAGATGTATATCAATCCTATTATATAAATTTTATATAAGTTTTATATAAATTTATTTCTCTAGAACATTTCTATTGCAAATCGTTTTTATGAAAATGTTGAAGAACTTTGATTCTTATTATCGATAAAAACTGATTTATATCGTTCACGTTGCACCTGTCGTTGAATTATTTATCAACTATAATTACGCACTACATGAGTCTGCACATTCCTCGTTGCAATAATTATGATAAAATATAATTTTAAAAAATGTATTGAAAATGGCTTCTTTCGTTTCAAAAAAAAAAAAAAAAAGAAAGACACACTATCGTTCTTTTTCTACTTTGGTAATTTGCATAAGAAATAAATCTAAAGTATACAATTATTATTATATGTAACATCAGAGTACGTAATTATGTTTTAAAAATATCTAAAGTTAGCAAAAAAAAAAACATAAAGAAAGAAAGAAATTTCATTTAGTTAGCATTATATTCTATTCATTATATTCTATTCATTCATTATTTTTTATCCAGTATTTTTTTTCTTCTATTTTTAAACACACACTACAATAATAAAAATTATTGTCAACACATTCACTAGAAATGAAATTAAAACGAAACTGATTATTGCCGATTCAGAAAAAAAAATAATGATATCAAATTTGTTTCTAGTACTTTCTAGGTGAAATTAGAGCAATTTTTAAATAGTTTTTAAGTAAATTTTTAACTAACTTAACTAATTAACTAATTTAATTAACTAACCAATTTAATTAATTAACTAATTAAGGGTCGCAAATATGTAATTCAAAATTAGTAATATTTATAGTGAGTTAATTATTTTAAGATTCTTTGTAAAAATTTTTCTTTTTCCATTTATTTTGCTTTGAGAATTCATTTTTTGAAAATAGATTATGATTATAATAAAGAAAAAATTTTTATAACAAAACATTAACCAAATCGCGATATCTAACTACATTCTTGAAAAGAAAATACCGAGCAAATAATAAAAAATTAATATATCTCATCCATGATACGCAAGACAAATATTAATTAAATGATTATGGTCGTATATGATAACCATTGTATTAAATTTGTTGTGCTTGAGACGAGTTAACTAATTTATCTATAAAATCGCACCATTTTTTTTTCCATAATATTGAAGCATAATTTTTCTGTTCAGCATCCATATTACTGTATATAATAGAATTAAGAGCTAGCTGTTTTAGAGCCCTTAAATCAGAATTCTGCGACATGATTCCCATGAAGGCTAGATAAAAATCGTAGCTTAGAGCGTTGCTTCCCCAAAGTCCAGGATCATCGTTCGAAACGATAACAGGAAAATTATTGGCAAATAATTGAGCCGCTGGATGATTTCTAAGATCCTTTACCAAGTTCAACACTTGATTGGAAATGGGATTGACCTCGACGGCGATCCCACGTTGTTTTATTATTTCCATTACCAGTGGATGTTTCGTTAAAGCGTATCTATGTACACATATACGTTTATATACGCTTGTGTAAGAGTATAATAATAATAATAATAATAATAATAATAATAATAATAATAATAATAATAATAATAATAATAAAAATAATAAATATATATTAGTTAATAATATAATAATTAATACTAATAATAACATATTAGTTAATAAATGATGCGTCACAATTTTCAATATTTTATATTTAAATAAAAAATTTGCATTAGTATTTTTCAAAAGTATTCTTTGAATTTTCATTAAAACATATTAGTGTCATTTATTTAAATATAAAATATGGAAATTTTTCACACATTATTTAATGGCACTAATCTAATAATAATAATAATAACAATAATAATATTGAATTTTTCAGGAAAATAGAAATCATATATCGATACGAATAGATTAGATTACGTGTTATATCTAATGATTAATATATTTGACGAGATAAGAGAATTTTGAAGATGTATTTTGTCGTTTTGATTATTGAAACACGAGTGAACGATTTAAAATTAGACGCGTTATTATTCTTTTGAGTAAAGTGAAAGGATAATCGTTAATTTAATGATGTGTGGAAATAAATAGATTCCGATAAAGTAATGAAATACATTAGCATAGTCATTGATATCTAATCTCATATTCACATGAGACCAATAGAAATTCTTTTACTCACCCATGTCCAATACGTTTAGCACCTAATAGAACAGCATCGATAAGATTTTCATCGGTACTTGAACCATACCAAACAGTTTCACCAGCATGGAAAAAATAATCGATCGGTGGATTGAGATTCCTCAATTTATTGGCGAATACAGCCAACGGTTGTCCTTTATCTTCTTGCCCAACTAAATCGAACCCGGCTAAGAACGTTGGAAATTTTTCTTTCAAAGCTTTCAATATCGTTAAATACTCGTCAAATTTATTTTCATCTACTTTACGATTTGGGGCATATATCAGTTTGGCACCAACGAAGTTTGGATAGTCCGACATAAATCTGACAAGAGAGAGAGAGAAAGAGAGAAAAAAAGAAAGAACATACAAAAATAAAAAAGAAAAAGAAAAAAGAAATAAAATAAAATAAAATAAAATAACAAATAAGACTCTTGTTTATACGTTTTTTATGATATTAACCTTTCCGTAGTCTTTTTATAAACCATCGCAGTTTCGAGAGATGAGTAGACGGTGCCATTGAGCTCGTACAAATTCGGAAGAGTGCTACGAATTTCGATGTACATGATATTGTCCATGTAATGATCTTTCAAAGCTTCGTAATAATGATCCTCATAAACTGGTTTATAAGAAAGCATTGGTGTAATGAAATCAAATACTTGTTTGAACTTTGACCAAACTTTATCAATATCTTTGTAAACTATTTCAGGATTTTTCGTTAGCATAGTCATTTGTTTATAAATCCTTGAATTAATCGTGTCAACGATACTTTTGTTCTTTCTAAGATCGCTCAAAAGTCTCCACGAACAATCGTCATTTGGTTTTTCGAAAAATCGTAATTGAAGCAAATTTTTCGATGTTTCGCATACATAAAGATTTGGTCGGAACGTTATATTCCAGAAAATCCAATCGGCTGAAACGAGTGCCGTATCGTGTGCGTGAAGGACAGCACCTTTCGGCATCGCTCGAATGATTTTATAAACTTCCGAATTTTTTATCTCCGTTCTTGCCTCTAAGAAATTACGTCCAGGCAGAAAAAGACTCAAGTTTTTAAAAGCTGGAACAAATTTTTACGCCATCTTTCTCTATCTTTTTCTTTTTATTAAGATATGTTTACCTAACATAATACGCCCATTATAATTTTTAACACATAACACTGTTAATGTCTGATAATAAATGATAATAAATGTATGATATTAATGAATAAATTATCAATTGCGTCAAGATGATTGATTTTTTTCAACATTGATAATATCTCTTGTTTTTTTTAATTGTTCAAAAATATTATATTCCATATGATACATACGATATTTATTTTATACTTTTATATTTATATACAGATTAAATTTAATACTCGATATTGTATCTTTCGAGATATTATATATATGTTTGCTAATAATAATTGTTATGTGATATCTATAATTAGAAAAATTATACTCGAAGAATTTCTATTATCTTATATTATTAACGAAAATAAAAGTTTGACTTGCCTTTTTTATTTATCATATGAGTAATATCTTTTTCTAAATTATACATCTATCAATGATTATCATTAACGTTTATTAGTTATGTAATTAAATATAATTATTATTAGAGAGAAAAATATGTGAAATAAAAAAACAAACCATTTTCAAATTCGGCCCGTTTTTTCGCCATTAGAAAATCATTAGCGATATATTCGTCATATTTCAAATCTAGTTGACCGCCAAGCATTGAGTTTTGTTCTGTGGTAAGTATTTCAGCTCGTATTTTCCAATAATCATAAGGAATCGAATTTGTAGTACACAAAAAACAACAAATCACAATGATCAAAACGATTGGTCCATTCATGATTACGATAATAATTTAAACTTATTATATCATTAAAATTTTTATTCTTTATTTATATTAAAGTTTAAATTCCGATCGTATCTATAATAAACGTACATCAAAGAAACTAACTTCTCAGATCTGCATGATCTTTATAAACACCGATCGCCTCGGTTGTTCACGGTCTACTGGCTCAAGTGTTCGTATCATGACGACCAATTATAGCAATCTACACAATCCAACTATAACATACATTTGTCCCTTTTTTTTATTTGGATTTCCTTACATTAAATACTCGTACATAAAAATACACGTGTATAAAAACAAAAAAAAAACAAAAAAAAAAAAAGAAAAAGGAAAAAAAAAAAAATAAAGAATCAGATGCATTCATTATAATGTCAAAGTTATTTAAAGCGTCATGATAGTTTTAAGAAAATTTATACTAATCCTTTATATTCGTATGATAAAATTTCAATGAACAAAGTATATTTATTTGAAAAATAAAAAAAAAAATCTATTATATCATTTTTCTTTTTTAATAATTTTGCAGAGAAAGAAAGATAAAGAAAGAAAGATGAAGATTTTTATTCCAAATTGTTTTAATTCGACCTCAGGGCTGATCGAAGTGTCCCCTTGTGTTATTTTTAGAAAGCTTTCTCTGCGTCTAACGCGTATGTATACGTAGTTAACTTGTCAGGGAGACCTAATGTAGGGAGAATAAATGCGGGATGTAGAATGAAAAAATTGAAAGAGAAGGGAGACGAAAGAAAATTTATTACAAAATACAAGTTCGTGTCTTGTTACACATTTTCACGCTTAAATAAATATTTTTAATATTTATGTATCTTAAATAAAGATTTATCGTACATTAATGTACGCTATAAATTAATAAAAAGAATATATATATATTCTTTTATATAGAGTTATTTATATATATATACATATATATATATATATATATATATATATATATATATGTATACATATATTATATAATGAATAAAATAATATCTGCAAAAGCGTATTTTCAATCCATATTTACAATCCATATAAAATTTCATTTTTCATCTAAAATACGAATTTTAATGTGCGATCGGCCTTATATATTGTGCAATACAATCGTATTTTAATTATTTCTTTTAAATTGTTTTATTAAAAATAATTAACTTTAGTGTAAATTAATTTATATATGAAAATATTAACGCAATAGGAATAATTGATCTTTGAAATGAAAATTTTTGATAATTAATTTACTTCATAGATCAATCACTTCGTAAATATAATCTTTCATCTTCCTATTTTTATCAATTAATCTATTATTGAATTCTTCTCGATATGTTTTGTTGCAACAGGAACTCGTTAATTCTCGCTACTTACATAAAGGAATACTTTGTATGTACAATTATACATACTATTGTAAGAGGTGAAACTATAAACACAATTTATATAGAGTTATACATTTCCTTTTTTTTTTGTTTTTTTTTGTTATCTATACATCCATCAGTTGATGCTAAAACATCTGTTCTACTTTAATTCACACATACAAATTTTTTTATAAACGATATATTATATTTAGAAAACTTAGGCCTATATATATATATATTATATGTATATAGATTAGAAATTTTCGACTGAAAGAAATTTCATGTTTTTTTTTTGTTTTTACCTTTTTACTTTCTTCTCGCCAAAAAATATTGCCATTTGTAAAAAATGATTTAGACAAACTTACACAGCCGATGCACTGTTATCTTACGAAAAATATCCCAATTTTATTGTCTCTTACTTTCTATATACAAAAGTTAATTGTTAAGAATTACTCAAAAATGTGCTCCACGCTTAGAATGAAAATAATAAATTATAGTTTCTTTTTTTTGTTATTTTTTTCTTTTTCAGATGAAATTAATAAATTAACTTATGTACATACAACACATATCAAATTTGTGAAGTATATACAGGATGAATCTTTTAAAATTGAGATCTAAATATTTTTTAAATCTTTATATTTGAAAAGGAAAATTGAAACAAAAGTTATTCGGTTACGGAGAGCAAATATAATGGGATTATATATTTTGATCCGATGAACGTCTTCGAAGTTATTGCAAGATAAATTTTCTTTTTTTTTTTTAATAGAGATTCATAATTTTTGCAACAGCATCTTATTTCATATAAAAAGAATGAACGACTATTATTTGAAACCTCTGTTTGTTCAGTTTTTACTTTTTATAAAAAGATTGAAGAAACTTAAGGCAAATAGAACAAGCATTCCTTTTCAGACAAATATTATTTTTATAAATATTTATCATGATGGCACTCCTTATCTATAAGTTATCAATAGACTTAATTTTTCATTAAAATATAATAGAATAATCCTATGAATAAATTTGACCCTGAAATTACCTTGATGATGTCCATCAAATCAAAAATAAATAATTTTCAAATATTTCATCTCAATTTGAAAAATTCATCTTATATATATATATATCTCTAACAAATATAATTTAATTGTTATCAAAGTAAATCGATATACATCAATTTGTTCACTCCTCACATTTCACATGTCTTTAATTTTATAATAATGACTAACCAAAAATAAATATATTCTAGTAAAACATTTAAGTATTCTAAATACAATACCTATAATGTTATATAGTTTTTAATTGTTTTCTTGTTTATATGTAATTAAATTAAACAAAAGACATTTGATGTAAACCATTTATAAAACATATTATATATACGTCGTGCGATTAACTTTGATAAGAGAATAATGATATAACGAAATAAAATTTCTTTTTTGAATTAAATCATTGAAATGGATTTTGTATTTTACTTATAATAATTAACATTTTTTCGTATTGTTATGTCAAACAAGCACGATCGTCAAACGAAACGATACGCTTCTATATGACAAACAGTCATGTAACTTTAAATATTTCATCTTAAACGATTACACATATAAAAGATCGAAAAGATATGTTTTGAAAATATTAGTACATTTGAGTCTTAATATTATTATGTAGTTTCAGGTCTAAATTTTTGATAATTTTTTTATGCAGGATGATGACACATGAGCATGAAATTATCATGATCGTGCTTAATGCATAAAAACAAAAAAGAAAAAAAAGAAAGAAAAAGAAAACAATGAAGCACATGTAACATAGGCAATGTAAGTTATAACCGTGATGAATCTTTACACGTGTAAGGACCAATTTATAATTGTGACAAATGATTAATTCCTGTTGTATATTCTTTTACAAGAAACGAAAAGAGAAATAAAAAAAAGGAAACAAAAAATTATTGCATTCTCAAAAATCCCTGAGAAAAAAACATTAGGATTTTGAATAACTTTTATAATTTAATTGGAACGACGTCATCGATGAACATGATTAGTGAGCATGAAAGTATGCTTTTCTTTTTCATGTTATTATAAATGCCAATACTAAATACTCATAAAGTCTTAAAGTTTTGTACAATTCAAATGGTCAGCCACGTAAATAAGATCGATATGGATCTTAATAACGTTAACTATTAATACTTTTCTCTCTCTCTCTCTCTCTCTCTCTCATTTGCATTAACAAAATAATATTATAAACTTACACTTTTTTTTTTTTTATACTAATTTACTACGAAGGATGTTGAAGATGATGTTACATAGATTATTTTCAGTCAGTTATCGCGCTTAAATGACGCGATCATTCAATATAGTAAGTTCAAATCCATTCTATGATCAAATACAATCGTGTAACAAGACTGTTATTATAATAAGATTGTAAATGCACAAACTGACGTTGTACAGTACATTCGCGTGCGTGCGTACGCACGCACGCGAAGAAAATATTATTAATATTATTAATATTATTAATATTATTAATACTATTACTATTACTATTATTACTATTATTATTATTATTATTATTATTATTATTATTAATAATAATATTATATGCAGGAATATAATGTCGTTAAGAGGTTTTCAAAGCTTTATCCGCGTGTGCTAAAGTGAGTGATCCTACGAGTGAAACTAAAGTACGATCCAGCCATGTTATAGGATTTGGATAAAGAAGGCCACCTTCGTAGAAACCTAAATGACCTCCGTGTGACAATTCAACGTACAATGTGTTTGGATGAGTCGCTACAATATATAATATATAATTTAATCCAACTTTCTTCTTCTTCTTTTTTTTTTTTTTTTTTTTTGCTTTGCTATTTCTCTAATTAATATTTCAAATGATCTTCGTATTATTAAAAACAATTTATATTTAATTAATTTTAATTTTCCCTAAACTTACCAGCATATTCTCTTATAGGCTTTAATAATGAATCCGGTACAATAGGATCATCTACAGAATTAATAAATACCATTGGTGTATAAATATTATCAAGATAATTTATGGAACTGGACCATTTGTACATTTCTTGCACGGACCTAAATTGATGTACCTATGAAGAACAAAAAAATTAAAAAAAAATAAAAAATAAAATAAAAACATGGAGGACAAGCAAGTAAATATGTATGTAAATCGTACAACGTTCTTTTACATCATTACATCATTAAAAGAATAATATTAGCAAAATAAGAAAAGATCTTACCCTTCTCGTATAAGCTTCATCGAGTTCGGGTAACGTAGCAGCAGAAATAATATCTCGCTCGTTGAGGGAATATTTTTGTTTCACTTCTTCCGAAAGGAGTACATGCTTGTGTTTCAATATTATATTTTTAACGGATTCTGTCATTACATAGAGATAAAAGCGTCTGAAGTTTTGCCAGTTTAATAAGAACTTTGTACCTCTGAAAGAAACATGAATTAAAATAATTCAACGCGTGTATTGATCAAAGTGAACGAAATGATGTATTTACACTTCTTGTTTCTTTTCCTTTTTGTTTTATTTTATTTTGTTGTTGTTGTTGTTGTTGTTCTTACAAATAAATAGAAAATAAATGAAAATGAAAAATAAATGAGAACTCACTCGAGCGCGTTGTAACCTTGACAAATGGATATGCCGCCTATGATATTGGATAATTTATTCAATCCGCGTTCTCCTAGATATTTGGTGACTAAATTACCGCCTAAACTAAATCCTATGCAAACAATTCTCGTATTTGGATGTTGTTCGGTTAAATTTTGTAGCATCATGTGATAATCGTCAGTATGACCTAAAAGAAATAAATGATAGAAAAGTAATGTAAGATTGATAAAAAATAAAAAAAAAAAAAAAAAAAAAAAAAAAAAAAAAAAAAAAAAAAAAAAGTAACATGAGCTGAGAAATTGTACATATGGAGATAGTACATAACAATAATTTGTATCATAATACTTTTATTCTATACCATAAGTGAATATCCTTGGCGCTGTGACTTTGACACTAGAAAGAGCTCCTACGTGATTAAGTACGGCGCATCGATAACCGTGACACTGAACAAGGTGAACGAATGTCCTGATGTAGACACTTTCAGAAGTGTTGCCAATGCCCGGACAGATAGCTATCGTGATATCGTCTGCAGAATAATAAAGTTCTTTTTTACTTCAAGGTATTCACTATTGAAAATTCAAGAGGCAATGAAGAAAACAAACGCCGACGTCCAATATTACAAAATTCGCTTGTTTCTTCCTCCTCCTATTTACGTGAACATATATATTAATATATATATATATTATAATATATTATAAATATTAATTTATTATAATATATTATAATATATTATAATATATATATAATATATATATATATTAATGTGTGTATACATATATACATATATAATGTATACATGTATACATATATAAATAAATATATATGTATATATACATTTATATATATAGATATATTTAATATAATACATTTTATATTTTTAATATTTATATTTTATATTTTAAATATATTGATTCTATGTACATATACATATATATATATATATACATACACAAATTTATATAGATATATGTATATGCATATTAATGTATGAAAAGTTAAACCGTTCGATTATTATATTTCGTTATTTTTCGTAAAACCTTGTTTAGATAAGCTGGTAGCATACCAACAACGGATCCTCTTGAAAGTAGTATATTCCAAAGTATGACGCGAACGTGGACATTCGTCTTCCATAGAAAAAAGAAAAAAGAAAAGAGAAAAAAAAAAAAGAAGAAGAAGAAGAAAAAGAAAAAAAATCAAATACCTTATACTCTTAACGACCGATTTTAATTCTAAATAAGCTCTTGGTCGTATATGACTAAGAGTTACTTATAAATAATAGATATGTTAAAGAGTCTCACAGAGAGAATATAGCGTGAGATTCATTCTTATGAATTACACCTGTTGTTTCACCTTCAAAATCAACGATACAATACGTAGCAGAAGTAATTCGAGTACGAGATTAATGTATCCTTTTTTAGGATAAAATTAAAGTTAACGAACGATGAAGAGAAATATCAAGAAAATTTGAAATAAACGAACCTTCATGGCCATTAGTCAATGGTTGATAAAGATCATAAGTTAGAGTTGTGTCGTCGGATAGACCAATGTATACCCGATCTCCTATTGGCCAAGGACATCGTACACGACCAATGATACTGTGGACCACCGTTTGCACGTGACCGCTGAACCCCCATAGTCTTGTAGGTTTGTATCTGAAATAAGATTTTTAAAGGGTTATGATCATTTTTTTTTTCCTTTTTTTAAAATACTACAGTAAGTAAAAAAAGAAGAAGAAAAAAAAGATGATCATTGTCAATTGTACCATCAATGAATATTATCGTTTTCGTCAATCGTACGAAAACGAATCTTTCGAAATACAAAATTTCGTCGTCATTTTGTCGTGCGAAAACCAATCTTCCAAAGTACAAAATATCGTTGGCATTTTACAGTAAGAAATTTATTCTGTATCATACATAAAGATTATGTATATTTTTTCTCTTTTTTTTTTTTTTTTTTTTTTTCCACGAATGTCTCATATAACATTGTCGTATACTCATTTATATTAACATTTTTATAACGTATATAATATAATTGGCTTATTATAGTCAAGGTTTATGATAAACGATTGATATAATATTATTAATGGTATAATTATACCAATGACGTTTCTCAACATTTCAATGAAGCGAAATCTAAAGAAGATTTGACAAACCGTTAGAGAGACGAGTTTATTGTGGGGATAAAAAAAAAAGAAAAAAAAAGAAAAAGAAAAACATTCCTAGTGGATCAGTGGAACACGAGAAATTCTAAAACGGTCATAGAGAGAATTGATGATCGAGAACGGTTAATGTTCGTCTAACATTTTATAGCTTTGCAGTCGTAAATTACAAACAAACATAAACAAAGAGAAAATATTTTACGTCGATGATTATTATCTTCGAAGAAAAAAAAAAAAAAGAAAAAAAAAAAAAATTAAAGAAAAAAAAAAAAGAAAAATCGATGATCTACAATCCCTGTTTCGTGATAGACTCAAACACTTTTTTTTTTTCTTTTTCGTAGCGTTTTTATCGCTAGAAAATTGATCTGACCAATGACGAGAAACCTATAATTTTACATTGATTTATAATACATTTATTTCGAAATTATATATCTTTCTACAATGTTCTTCCTTCGACATTATTTTTTCTAATTAAAAATATCGATATTGTTGAGTCCAAACGTTTTAAAAATTAAAAGTACTTAAGAAGTATTTGAAGAGGAGAAAGCCTCACGATCAGCAAAAATTTTGCTTACAATTTTCTTGTCATACAATTTTATCACATTCTTTCGCAAAACTCTTTGAACTACTTTTCTCACAATACAGTTAAATCATATTTGGTAAACTTTTCTCTTTGATTTATGTCGAATGTTATGATTAAACGGTACATTGAATAAGCTTTCACTGTTATTAAAGATTTTGAATACTTCGTAATTTTATTATCTAGAATATTTGAATGATAATAAATACGATTTTTTTCTTTTTCCTTAAAAGAAAAAAAAAAAAAACCAAAAGAAACAAAGAAGGAGAAAGAAAAAAGAAAATGGATAAATAAATTATAATAACATTATTCTCCATATTATTATAATAGGCACACATATGAATTTATCGATATATTCGATATAGCCAATAAGTAGAATTTATTATTGGGGGAATTTTTCAAAGGAAAAAAATTATATAGCTATGTAAATTGATTAAAAAAAAGAAAAAAGAAAAAAAAAAGAAATAGAATCGATCGATTAAAAAAAAAAAAGAAAAAAAAAAAAGAAAAAAAAAAATTGAAAGTAGTTAAAAAACACAATACGATATAAAACATACAAACAACGATTTCATGATGCATTAGAACGTGTTGCATATATATTCATACATGTATATAGATCGAAGAGAAGAAAATATGCATAGCTTCAGAAACTAAAACTTTTTCTATATGCACATATATACGTATATATATGTACAATGTATTATATGTATACATATGTATTATATATATATATATATATATATACTGACATAAAAAATAATATACATTAGAATCGATTCGAACAATTCTCTTCATGATACTTATCTTCCATATATATATATATATATATATATATATATGCATATAATTTTGTTCAAACTATGTCGCTTCCGCTTTCTTGATCACGACATCGAAGAAAAATAAATTGGAAGTAAAAGTGAGAGCTTTCGTTGTCGTCGACATCATTATTATTGAACTCGGGCAATGCGATTATTTTATAAAAGAAGCCTTCCTCCATCGAGGTAAAAGTTCTTCATTATTAAATCTTTAGTTATTTATATACGTAACTCGACATTAATCATAAAAAAAAAAAAAAAGAGAAAGAATAATAATAATAATTTAAAAAAATAAATAAAAAGAAAAATGGAAATTATTAAATATTCAGTTAGCTATATTTGTGTGTAAAAAAAAAACAAAAAAAAAAAAAAAAAAAAAAAAAAAGAAAAAGAATAGAAAAAAAGAAAAAAGTCGATATACAAGCATATATGTAATGTTATCAATCATGATAAAGTTTGTAATTTTTTTTTTTTTTCATTATACCGACTGTTCAATAATGATAACAAGCTGACTATCGACAATGATGATTGATAGAAAACTCTTCGCTCAGACAAATATTAAACGCGTGAATCATCTTTTAATTAGCAAACTTGCTCATGTTTTTAAATTTACATCATGCTTCATTCGAGAAATTATTTAGATATGGCACAAAAAAAAATACATTTATTTTTATTTTCGTTCCAACTTCTTATATTATACATATACATATATATATATATATATATATATATATATACATATACATTTAATACATATATTTTTTTTAAATTAAAACCACAATTATGCATATATGGATAAAAAAAAAAAAAAAGAAAAAAAAAAAAGAAAAAAAAAAACGTCTCTTCGTTTCAAATTTATTATAGTTTGTTTTTGAGTATTAATAGATACGTATCGTCACGATTAAAAAAGTGCGAGATAGAGAGGACGAGAGAGAGAGAGGTAGAGGGAGGGAGAGAGAGGGAGAGAAAGAGAGAGAGAGAGGGAAAGAGAAAGAGAGAGAGAGAGAGAGGGAAAGAGAAAGAGAGAGAAAGAGAGTAAAATAGAGATAGAAACAATACTGTACTTTGTTAAATTCTGAGAAAAAAAAAAACATTCACATTCTCTTCCGTTGATAAGAGTCTCCGCGTAATTTTAAATCTATATTACGATGAGATCATTGTTACGAAAAAGTATCTTGTGCAATATATGAAATAGGTTTATTATTTTATACACACTTAGATCATCGATATTTTAAATCGATTTTTCTTTCTTTTCCTTTCTCTTTTTTTTTTGTTTTTTTTTTTATTTTATTTTTATTTCGTTTATGCAATAACATATTTTTTGAAATCTCGATTTTTTTTTTCGTATATATATATATACATATATATATATTTTTTTTTTTTCACATTAATGTACAAATCACTGATTTATTAATAAATTATAGAATTTAATACGGTATAATTAATTTCTATAATATATTCTCATAATATTGATGACTTAATAAATATTAATTATATACACATATAGAAATATATAAATATATATATAAAGATACACGTTGAATATTTTGAAAATATTAATACGTTGTCGGAAAGCTTCAATGATAAATTTGTATTTCCATTATGTTATATTGATTTGTTTGGAAAAATTTGCTTTGCTAATTATTGAATCAAAATAGATGCAAAGAGAATAATGAAGAAATAGAAGAAGAAGACGAAAAAGAATATAACCATAATACGAAATTCATATATATATATATATATTTCTTGTGTATTCTCTTTGGCAAATTGCTTTTAATAAGTATTAAAATTCTTCAATTTAACTAATTATACATCGACATAATTAATTGTCATAAATACAATAGAATAAATGTTTTAACGCAAATTTTTCAAATCTTATACAATAAATGATCGCCACAAAGTAGTAAAAAATATCACTTAACTTGATGCACCAGAAATAGACATAAACGAGATAGATAATTTTAATAGGATAATAGATATAAACTTCAACACGTATTATGACAGGCAATAATAAAAATTAATAATACATCATGCGATATAATTTAATTTCAATATTACAGTGGGATATAACTGACACTGTATATTTAAGAAATAATTAATTCGTTAATTATATTAATGAGTTTGAACGATGAGATTCTATGATATATATATATATATATATATATATATATCGATGATTATTAAAATTATCTATAATCTTGTTCACAAAAAATACAAACATATTGTTATATATACATACATATATATATATATATATACATACATAGATATAGATATATGTATATGTGTATATAAAATTGTACGTATATTTCGAAACACGCGAATGTCACATGCTTGAATACATCGTTAGTAATATGATTTATTTTCGTATCAAAACAGAAATCTTTTTTATACGAATACAAACGAGAATATAAGACTCATAAAAAAGAAAAAGAGAGGGAGAACGAGAGAGAGAGAGAGAGAAAGATATATAGATAGATAGAGAGAGACAGAGAAAGAGAGAGAGAGAGAGAGAGAAACAGAGGTGGAGAAAGAGAATGAAAGAGAGAAAGAGATACAAGTTTCACGAATTTTCTGATGATAGTCGATCGTGAAAATATAAAACAAGTATTCCTTGGAATTCAAACTATGGTAAAGAAATATTTATAACTGAGAAAGTTTCTATTCTCATTTAAAATTATTATTTAATTAAGTAAAATTGTAAGTATATAAAAGAACACAACGTGACCTAACCTCTTGTCTTACATTTAATCTCTATCTCACTTGCTCATTTATTCGCTAAATGTACAGTTATATAAATCAAAAAAGAATAAATAGATTTATCATATTAAGAAGATAAATAAAAGGAGATAGAGAGATAGATAGATAGAGATAGAGATAGAGAGAGAGAGAGAGAGAGAGAGAGAAAGAAAGAGAATGAGAGAGAGAGAGAGGAGAGAGAAATATAGCAGAAGAGAGACATAGATAAAATAGAAAAACAAAAAAAAATGTACTTACGGTTCGGTGATAACCGGTGCGATTTTCAATAGAGTAGACAAAAAGTTAGGATCTTGACAAATAAGAAGTGGCTTTTGTGGCGCACTGTTTACGTTGAGCAATCTGAAGAGAATGCAAAGGATTACGGCGAAGACGGCTAGCAAAGCTGTCGACATTTTTTTTTTCTCGATAATTCGCAATGAAACTTATCACGATCGAACGCGCGTTGTTGATACTCTTTTTCCTTTAGAAGCTAAGTTTAGCCTTGTTGCCGAATGGTAGAAAACAACAAGAAAAATGGAAAAAAAATAAAGCGATCGACGCCGGTGAGTCGATCGACGATGACGACGACACGAACGAAGCTTTTTAAAGGCTAGGATCCGACTGGTAGCTTTGGATAGGATTTATATATGGTGTTGTGTGGTGTGTGTGTGTGTGAGAGAGAAAGAGAGAGGGGAAGGTTAAAAAAGAGAAAGAGAAAAAGAAAGAGAGAGAGAGAGAGAAAGAGAGATGATGATGATGATGAAGGACAGATGTATGTCTCTCACGGGGCGCGGTACTCTCTTGTTGAATCGATCGACTCGACTCGGTCATTAAAACTGACACGAGAATGCAAGAAAAATATTCTTCTTGGCTTTCTACAAAGATTCCGCTCTACCGTCCATCAAACGTTTTTTCTTTTTTTTCTTTTTTTGTATCTTTTTTTCTTGTCTTTCTTCCTTTCCTTTCCTTTTCTTCCTTTTCTCCTTTCCTTCTTCCTTCCGTCCTTCTCACTCTTAAAATGAACAAAAGAGAACGACGTATGCACAACACCAAATATTCTCTTTCCACCGATACGCCGGGTTTATTTTACCGACATTTAGCGATGCGCGCTTCTCTTTTCGCGTTCAATTTGCGAAGGTAGAAATCGAATATGGCCGGTGTTATCATCGACATCTATCAATGATGTTCATAAGTTTGTCAAATTTTGTTATTCAATGTTGACATAATAGATTTCTTTCTTATCGACATATTTCATTAGAGTCGATAACATCAGGTGTATTGTAATCATAATATTAATTTTCTTATTTTCTATTATTTACGACATCTTCATAGTACGAAATTATTATTTTTCTTATTTTTGTTTCCTTTATATTCATATCGTACATATTATCAAACAAATGCTTTTGACCAGTAGAAAATATATATCTGATCTTAAAAGCAGAGCGTCATTATTTTTTCAAAGCATGTGTGAATTCAGTGACATCTATAGATAAAAAATGAATCGTGTTGTTAATTATGTAATTAATAATAAGTTAATGTTTCGTTGGGATTAGATTGGAAGAAATACTGGAAAAATTTAAAAATATGCAGCCATTCGCTCGGTAGTACTTGCATATTATTGCATTGAAATACAATTAAACTTTGCAAGTATTAACGACCCAGGTCTCACCACGTGGAGGTTGCTGCATGTGGAGACCCACGGACTGACGGTGACTCTACTCTAAAATCCGCGTTCCGCGATACCGATCCGCGATACCTTTCCGCTTCAATGCACTGGCTTCTTAACTAACAGGGTATGCGTAGCTTTAGCTACTGCACACCTCTTACAGATAGCTCCACCATTTGCACCGTCTGCTTCAGACATAACGGATAATTAAGCACTTCTGAATTTGTGCTTTCCGAATTTCGAACAAACAAAGCGCACTCCTTAGAAATACTAATCGCGTCGCGACACTCACGTGTGTGTTGTTATTACGTGGATTCTACTATTAAGCCGAAATTCGCGAAGTACCCCCATCGAAATTTTAAAGAAATCAAACGAAGTCCACGGTAGGACCTTTAATCGCGCCCGAACACCCACGCGAGTGTTAGAAAAACGATGACTCTACTCTACAATTCGCGTTTTCGATTCGAACAATCAAACGAAGTTTAATCGCGCCCGAGAACACCAACGCCTGTGCACGCCGACACGCGCGCCAGTGTTCTTCCTATCCTTCCCGTATTCGCGTGTAAAAATCGATGATGAATCCAACCATGCGACGACGCATCCGTCTGCAGATGAACCTATCCCTCGATGACCTATCCTGTAAAAGAAAAAGATAAAGAGGAAATAAAAAAACAAAAAAATACATAAAATAAAACATAATATATATATGTAATATAAACAGAAAATAAACATAATTAAAAACATAATTATAAACATAAGCACATAATTGAACACATAATTAAAGACATAATTAGAAAGAAACAATATAAATAAATATTAAGAATACATAATTAAAAGGAAATAACAAATTAATAACACAATAGAAGACATAAGTCAAAAAGAAAAATGTGAAATAGAAACGATAGCCGGAGAAAGAATAGAGAGCCCCAGAAAGAGAGGAATAGAGAGCCCCAAAAAGATAGCATAAGAGTAACAGTTCTATATGATGCTGAGACAGCAACCCGCACAGAAGCCCTCGCCCACAGGCCCCTCCCATGGGTCCCACCCGAAATACACAAAGAATAATTAATGAAAGTAAATAAGAACAAATAGAAATAACAGCGGAGATAAAAGAGAGATAGAAAAATTTCCTTTTCATGTAACTGCGAAATTATTGTACAATAGATTTCTGCTATATTTCTTCTTTTGAAGTATTATTCGAGATATAAAATAAATATATGTTAATGTTTAGTTGGAATTAGTTTGAAAAGATATTGGAAAAGTAATACAATATGCAGCCATTCGCTCGGTAATACTTGCATTTAAAAATTTACAATTAAACTTTGCAAGTATTAACGATCCAGGTCTCACCACGTGGAGGTTGCTGCATGTGGAGACCCACGGACTAACGGTGACTCTACTTTATTCTAAAATCCGCGTTCCGCGATACCGATCCCTTATGCCTTCCGCTTCGGATATTTTGGGCATGGTTCAAAGCTAACAGGAAGTATCTAGCCTTAGCTACAGGGACTCCGCTTACAGAGAGCTTTACCGTTCAACACCCTCCGCCTCAGGCATAACGAATTATTAAGCACATCTGAATTCGTGCATCCGAATTTCGAACAATCAAAGCGCATTAATCGCGTTCGCGACACTCACGTGTGTTATAGTTACGTAGATTCTATTGTTCTATCCAAATTCGCGAAGTAATCTAATCGATATGTCGAAGAAATAAAACGAAGTCCACGGTAGGACTTTCAATCGCGCAAGCGAACTCTCACGTGAGTGTTAGAATAACGGTGACTCTAAGTTGAAATCCGGAGCATACTCCGAATTTCAATATTAAAACGAAGTCCATCATGGGACTTTTATTCGCGCCCGGACACCCACGCAAGTGTTCGGAAAACGGTGATTCTACTCTAAATAAACTAATCGAATATTCGAACAAACAAAACGAAGTCCCCGGTAGGACTTTTAATCGCGCACGCGAACACTCACGTGAGTGTTAGAATAACGGTGACTCTAAGTTGAAATCCAAAGTGACATATGTTAACCGGTATTTAGACTTTCCTATGATATTTGTCGAGATTTCCGCCCCGCTACCAAATATGAGGATTGTCATAATATCAGCAAACTATGTACAGCACTACAAGGTAAACCGTTCGCGCACCCCGAATTTCAACACTAAAACGAAGTCCATGGTAGGACTTTTAATCGCGCCCGGACACCCACGCAAGTGTTCGGAAAACGGTGACTCTATTTTAAAAAACGCGTTCGCGAGGTGATCTAATCGAATATTCGAGCAAATGAAACGAAGTCCCCGGTAGAACTTTTAAGTCGCGCCCGCGTTCATTCACGTGAGTGTTAGAAAAACGGTGACTCTACTCTAAATTCGCGTTTTCGATACGAACAATCAAACGAAGTTTAATCGCGCCCGAGAACACCCACGCCTGTGCCCGCCGACACGCGCGCCAGTGTTCTTCCTATCCTTCCCGTATTCGCGCGTAAAATTCGATGATGAATCCTGCCATGCGATGTACCATCCGGCCGCAGATGGCCCTATCCCTCGATCTTATATCCTGAAAAAAAAAGAAGATAAGGTAAAAATAAGAAATAGAAAAGAAATGACATATTGAATATCCCTGCATGATTGCTCGGTCATCCCTGAAAAAGAAGAGAAGAAGATGAATAAAAGAAAGATAAGAAAATAGAAGTAGCTCTGTACGCTGCTGAAACAACAGTCCGCTTCATCTTCTGGGTCCTACCTAATGCTTAAAAATTAATATTAATTAGAATATATTAATAACAAACCTAAAAACATAAAAACATAATTAAAAAGAAATAACAAATAAATATTAAAGATACATAATTAAAGAGAAAAAACATAATAAAAATCTGAAAAGACATAATAAAAAGAAATAACATATTAATAACATAATTAAAAACATAATTAAAGAAGAAAAATATGAGTAATAAAAGAGAGCTACTGAAAGATAAGAAAATAGAAGTAGGTCTGCATGCTGCTGAAACAACAGTCCGCTTCATCTTCTGGGTCCTACCTAATGCTTAAAAATTAAAATTAATTAGAATATATTAATAACAAACCTAAAAACATAAAAACATAATTAAAAAGAAATAACAAATAAATATTAAAGATACATAATTAAAAAGAAATAACATAATAAAAACTGAAAAGACATAATAAAAAGAAATAACATATTAAAAACATAATTAAAAACATAATTAAAGAAGAAAAATATGAGTAATAAAAGAGAGCTGCTGAAAGATAAGAAAATAGAAGTAGCTCTGCATGCTGCTGAAATAACAGTCCGCTTCATCTAATGGTTCCTACCTAAAACCTGTAAATCATAATTAATAAGAATATATTAATAACATAATTAAAAACATAAAAGCATAATTAAAAAAAAATAACATAAATAAATATTAAAGAAACATAATTAAAAAGAAATAACATAATAAAAACTGAAAAGACATAATAAAAAGAAATAACATATTAAAAACATAATTAAAAACATAATTAAAGAAGAAAAATATGAGTAATAAAAGAGAGCTGCTGAAAGATAAGAAAATAGAAGTAGCTCTGCATGCTGCTGAAACAACAGTCCGCTTCATCTAATGGTTCCTACCTAAAACCTGTAAATCATAATTAATAAGAATATATTAATAACATAACTAAAAACATAAAAGCATAATTAAAAAAAAATAACATAAATAAATATTAAAGAAACATAATTAAAAAGAAATAACATAATTATATTCTGAAAAGACATAATTAAGAAGAAATATCATAATAAAAATCTGAAAAGACATAATGAAAAAAAATAACATATTAATAACATAATTAAAAACATAATTAAAGAAGATTTGAGATAGAATAGAATATGAGATAGAAAGGAAAGCTGCAGAAGGATAAGAAAATAGAAGCAGCTCTACACGATGCTGAGACAGCAACCCGCACAGAGGCCCACACCCATGTCCCCACCCTATGGGTCCCACCCGAGACTTATAAATCATAATTAATGAGAGCATATAATAATGGAAAATATGAGATAGAAAAGAGAGCTCCAGAAAGAGAAGAAAAGAGAAACAATTCTATATGATGCTGAGACAGCAACCCGCACAGAAGCCCTCGCCCACAGGCCCCTCCTATGGGTCCCACCCGAGATATATAAAAGATAATTAATGAGACCAAATAAGAATAAATAGATATGACAGCGGACATAAAAGAGAAACAGAAAAATTTCCTTTTCGTTTCTCTGAGAACTTATTGTACAATCGATTTCTGCTATATTTCTTGTTTTGAAGTACTATTAGCGATATAAAGTGGAAAAACATTCATGTTCAATTGGAATTAGATTAAAAAGATATTGGAAAAGTAAAAAAATATGCAGCCATTCGCTCAGTAATACTTGCGTTAAAGAATTTATAATTATAGCATGCAAGTAATACT